GGGGCGCGCGCCGCCCGCCCGCCCACCCGCCTGCGGCGTCCCGGCCCGGGGGTCTCCCGGCTCCCGCTGGCCGCCCGCCCCGGCTTCACCGGGCAGCCGCGCGGGCTGCGCTCGTCTGCACGCGTTACAGACAGGCCGGCCCGGCCCACGTGCCGCGTGCTTTGCGGAGGAGGTACGCGGAGGAGAACACGAGTGTCCGGGAAGGGAGAGCCGGGGGCGCGTGCCCGCGCGGCAGGGGGCCTTTAGGCCAGTCGCTGACCCTCGGCCAGGTGTGCCCCACAGGGCTGCTGGGGGCGCCAGGGTGGTGTAGTGGCTGGAGCCCTGGACTGGGAGGCAGGAAACCGGGGTTCTCGTCCTCCTCTGCCAGGGTGACTTGACCTTGGGTCAATCACACAGCTTCTCCGCATAGCCTACCTCACAGTGTTGTTGTGAAGATGAACCACAGAGGTGTGGGCTCATCTAGACCACCTTGGATGCATTGCAGGAAAGCATTCTGGATATAAGTAGAGCTGAATAAGTGACCTGTTATCAGTGTGCAAAATGAGCCCTCTCTCAAGCTTTCACTGCAGAGCCCAGGCGATGGGAGGGAGGGTGTCCGACTGGATTCAGATTTAAAGACAGAGCTGTCAGAAGTGCTGTCCACTCACAGGTAGCGCCTGGGCAGCAGAGTGAGCAGGCGGTACACAGGTGTCATGAGATCGATTGTACTTCTGCTTAAATTATAAGCCAATGTGATTGGGCACCTGGGAGATCTGGGTTCTAGCCCCACTCAGCACTGAAACTTGCTGGGTGACTTTGGGCCAGTCACTCCCTCTCAGCCTAACCTACCTCACAGGGTTGTTGTGTGGATAAAATTAATCTAGGTAAGCTGCCTTGGGTCCCTCACAGGAGGGAAAAAGCAGAATATATGCAATAATAATTCTTATTTTGAAATGTGTGGCTCTTACAGATGCAAACTGCTGCCCTCTCATGTCTGCTGGATGAGCTGGTTTTTTGCCCACATGGGCTTCACTCCTGTTGCCTCCATCTGAATTTTTCTGCCTGAGGTGTTTTCTGAAATAAAATGCTCTGCTCCCCCTCGTCCTTACATAGGAGGAGTGGCAAACAGGCGACCGTAGAGCATTTAACTTAGCCCTTGCAAATTTCTGCTTTTGTCTTTAGGTCCTGTAGACTCTGCTCTTTTGGTACCCCCTGTGCCAGTTCCTCCTCCTGTGATCCTGGCAGAGTTTGGTTTTTCTTTGCTGCCAGCAAGGACAGGAAGAGGGTGATCTCTAGGAGGATTTCTGGTGGAGTGAAGGGAGAGAACGCGGTGGTGGTGGGAGTCCGGCACTCTTGGGGAGCCGCAGTGCAGGCCTGCTAGACGGAAGCAGCGTCCATCTCAGTGCAGCATGAGAGGCTGTGAGCAGCTGAGCCATGTGGCGGCAGTTCCATCTGCTGGCATAGTGCTGACTGGAGTACCTCCAAGACCCCTCCTCTCCCTCTTCCTTTTTATGGTCCCTTACTTTTAAACCGATCTTTGGAAGCAGAGCATGTGACCATGACAGAGCGGTCGCGGGAACAAAAGGGGTGGTTGTCCTGTCACACCTAGTTTGGAACTGGCGCGATCTTCCCATCTTGGCTTTACCCTGCCTAGTCGTTCAAAGATGCACAGCCTCAGCAATGGTTCCCAGCTCTGTGGCACCTTCCAAAGGCCAAGCGACTTCATGGAAAACCTGTGCAGATAAGGCCCCATTTCTATCTGCATGTTGAAACCAGGAGGCAGGGCCCTGGAGAAGTTGCAGCAGCACATCGGAATCGGAGCAATCTCTGCTTTTCACCCCCTCCTTGTGCCCCCAACAGCAGCAGGCCTCAGCGTGAAGATACGTAGGTACATATGTCCCACAGCCAAGGATGAGGTAGCATTCTTAGTGCCTCCCTTTACCAACATAAGGGAATTGTTTGTTTCCTCACAGAGAAGTTAAAGATCTGGGAACTTCCTTGCCACAAGGGCAGAAGCAGCTTTTGCACTTTGACCCAAGGGACAGCATGTGCCTCTGTATGTGCAGAAACTCACCTGCATCTTCTGGGCTCTTGCATTTTTGTAGCAGGTGCAGGAATGCAGCCCTGTGTTCTCAGGTGAGGACTGAGATGCACAGCAAAAAGACTTTTTAAGTAAGAAGGTGATCTCCTTCCCTGCTTCACCCAATGCACCATGATCTGGATTTGTGCCCTCTTATTGGGCCACTGCGGTGCTGAAATTTAACCAGCAGACTTCAGTAATTTCCTTCAAGGACTCTGCTAATTAAGCAAGGCTCCTGAGCTTTGTTTAGAGGCAGATATCCTGCAATCTGATGCAGCCTGCTGAAGGTTGATGCCTGAAGCTTCAGCATTTTCTTGCTGGTGAGATCAATAGCATTCACCTGCATCTGTGCCCCTTCCTTGGGCACAGATCAAGCAGAACCTACCACTGCCTGCTTCCTATTCCAATTTCGGTCCAGAAGCCTTTACTGCTTCGGAACAGGTTTTAGGAAAAGAAAAAAAAAAAAAGATTGGAAGAAGTACCCTACTGGATCAGGCCGAGGATTCATTTAGGCGAGAATTATGTTCACGTAGTGGCCAAACAGCCACAGGAAACTCACGAGCAGGCCATGGGGCAAAAGCACCCCCCCATGTTGCTCAGCGCCTGGCGTACATTGGCATCTTGCCTCCGATACTGGAAGTAGCACAGAGTCATTTAGACAGGTATCCACTGATAGCCTTTCCCCTTGACTCTGTCCAGTCTCCCTCCGGTGCCCATCACCGTATCTTGTGGGAGTGAATCCTTTTATCTTCTGTTCATCAGTCTGTGGGCTCGCATATGATGGGAGAGGGAGGAAAGAGTTTCTTGGCCTGCTTTCTCCGCGCACGAGTGGCAGCCCCTTTTGACAATGGCCAGGGTCAAGAGACACTGCCTGTGCTGTGGTGTTTATAAGCATGAGACATGGGAACTAGATAAGCCAATGTGATAGACCTCCCTGCAGGTCACACAAAACCCATACAGTTCTTTGCATAGTTCACACAGTGGACCAAGAACAGTGCAGTAAACTGCTTAGGTTAATCACGGGATGAAGAGCGTTCCAGAGAAAACATGCAAGTCATTTTCATTGTTACTACCAAGATTGTATCTCTTCAAGTGAAGGATTTGAAGACCAAAGTGTAGGCCTTTAAATGCAGGATTATCCCAATCACACACAGATGTGTTTATAGAATGTGCAAAAGGGTTGCATCATGATCAGCAGATTTAACTGCCCCCTCATGCTGCAAGCTCACCCTGCCCCACCAATTTTCTTCAAAAGGCAAGTTTAAGCCTTTCCCCATTTATTTTTTCCTGAAATTCCACCTGCTGTGGGTGTGGGGAATGGGTAAAAAAAGAAACTTCCATTGATTCCAGCCAGGGCCATACAAGAAAGCAAATGAAAATAGCACGTAGAGCCCCACTAGGAACATTCTTAAAGGAACATTTGGCCTTCATGGAAGCTAGTTAATGCAGGGGAATATCTTCAGGTTATTCTAAAAACCGAGAAAACAGGTAAAATCCAACGTAAAGTCTGCTTAGAGTAAACCTACTGAGATGAGTGGAGTGTGTTAATCATTAATTTCAATGAATCATAATAAAGTAGGATTTATGTTGCATTTTCCCCAATATATGTGAGTTATTTGGAACACTCAGAAAACACTATATACTTTGCATTGGCAAAGGCATTAGCAGCTGTGGTGCAGACAGAGATATCTGCACATGCCAGATTTAAACTGGTTTTTGAGAAGTAATTTCAGCTCTGTGGGAAATACTGGGAAAGGGGAAATTAAGGACCATTGTCTGATCACTTGCACCCAGGATCCCTCAAGGAAAACCAAGCTAGTTAAACTGTGATCAGTTGAGCATATGTAGCCCGCCACATATTTCAGTAATGACAGCTACCTTCCCATAGTATGCGTGGGAGGTCTTGGTCAAGGAGTTCCACTGGTCCAGAACAACATGGCAGACAGGCAAGCTCTGCCACTAGGTAGGGGGCAGCACTGCATTCCCCCCACCCACCCAATGAAAATACAGCCAAGTACTCATCCTACAGCATAACAATTTGTGCTTGGCAGGCAAGCAGCTTACCTAACCATTCTCATAAAATAATTTAAAACTGTGATTCCGGAAGCTAGTTTAGAGAAGAAACACACCACAGGAAAAGATACACACCCAACACATCCCCCTTTTATTTATGAGCAAGTTAGGTGTGTGGGGGGAATATCATTTTTTTCAAACTTGATTGGTTTAATGCATTGGAATCGAGTGTGGTTTCAAAGTAGGGATGGCATCCAGTACTATCAGTCAGAAGACAACATGCATCCAGCAATTCCACCTTTCTCTCCTTAATATATGAGTGTGTCTGTGTTTGCAGGAAAAGGACAGCCAGATGAAGCCATGGAAAAACATGGATAAGTGACTTATGAGTGGAGCACAATGACACCTGGACCCTCTGTAAAATTCCATGAATGAGGCAAGTCCATTGGATAATAAAAGCCACATTTTGAGATAGCCTTGACAGGTGAGCTCCAGCAAAGTAAGAGGAGGAAGAAATGAAGCATTAACATAGAATATTGGACTGTAGCCAATTATGTTGGCCCTGAGTGAGCCTGTGTGTATACGTGTGTGCGCTGAATGTCGGGGACTGAATGAAACATGGTTTCTGACCAAGCACGGCAGAGACAACCAAAGCAGATGTCTCCATGTTTTCGCTTCCACATATGGGGGAATTGGAACTATCGAATCTCTAATTGGGAAATCATAATGCATAGCCATGCAGAAGAGTTCTCAAGGTCAGAAGAGGCTCAGGATACTTACATAGCAAACTAATAAGGGTAATAAATTGCACAAGGAAGGAGGACTGCAAGACCTCAAACTAATATTTACGGTGAGGACAGCTACCTGGCACAATTTTAAAAAACAGCCTTATGACAACTTAAAGACTAACTGTTTTGCTTGGCTTGAAAGGCACAAAGCGGGAGACTTGGTGAAAACTCTGCTGCCCTGTGTTTAAAGCTCTTGGAAGAAAATGAAATGTTGTCCCCTTTGTTTCAGTCAAAAAAATCCCGTGTTTCCATATAGGGTTTATCTATTCTGAGTTAGGCTGCAGAACTAAGTTCTTGTGGAACTGTTAGTGGACATTTTAGAAAGTTCAGCCCTTGCTTTTTAAGGCCCGTTTATTGCAATACAAGTAATTGAGCACACCCATTATGTATTCATTGTAGATGTTATGTTCACATTTCAACAGTCACAAAAAGAATGAATACATTCATCTCGTCCAACTTCCCCTTGCATTCTTGATGATCAGACATGGTCAGCGGTTCCATAAATTTTGGCTGCCCATAGTGGCCGGTCCAAAGTTTGTGGTCAACAGGCCTCCTTTCACTAAGTGGCAGCATTTCGTCCCAACCAAGAGGAAACCATCCAAGGGAGAGGATGCAGTGGCCTTCCACTGTGCCCACAACCTGCTGAACTTTGCAACTACGAATTTAGCCTCAGATTTTGCTTTTTCCCCTCCTACCTTCCAATCCCCTTTCCTTCAGGATCGTGTGGACAGCAACCGTGTAATAAACAATCTTCCTAAGCCACCTTGAGAATCTTCATGACTCAAGAGTGGGATAAAAATGCTACATATAAAGTCCCTTTCTCTCAACCTCTGTGTTGCTTGTCCCTGCACTGGGGCAAAACACACACTTCCCGTAGCCAATACCATTCAAGCAAGCAGCAGCTACACTGGGGGAACAAAGAAAGGAGCAGCCTGGACTACAATTCAAGGGGGAAGGATCCCCCACAAGCTGAGCAGCATCTTTATTCTTCATCACCTTCACAAATCAGTAGTGCAGCAACGGAAACAGAACCCCCCTTTAGCAAGAAGGACCAACTTTTGTCTTCCCAGTGGTCACTTTTTACGTTCCCCCAGACGTTGAGTTGGGGGACCTGTGTACAGCATTCTCATCTACCACCCCCCTGCCGCCAAACTTTAATAAAGGAGTAAAATCAGCATTGGAAACTTTGACCTGCCAACCTCTGGAGGCTGGATCTGAACTACAGGCCAAAATTGCAACTTTATAAAAAATTAAACTTCCTCACATAAAATCATAGGTAGCTGAAATGGTTGCCCTTTAGGGTCAGACAGTGGCAGTGTTGCCTGGGGAGAGAAGCAGAAGGGGAAGAAGAAAAGATAATGGATTCGTTCACCTTGGGGGGAGAGAGAATGTTTGCCGAACGTGAAGTGGGTGACAGTGAAGAGCATAAAGCAGGTAACAGACAGAAGGGAAGAGAAATACAAGGGGGAGTAAATCACACACAATGATCACACAACTATGCATCTTACATTGATCAAAAAAATCAGAGGAGAGCTGGTTTATAGTGCAGAAAACTCGGTCTCTATCAAAAAAGATTCTCAGCAGAGGCTCTTCTGGCTGCTTGGGTAAACGAAAGGTTTTACAGATCTCTGTGACATTGAACATCCAGCTGCTCATGACAGGTACGCAACAAGAATAAAAGGGGAATGCAAGAGCTGAGAATAGGGGGGAGAAAGGCATTGATCTGCTGTGCATCAGAGGAACCAGTCTTGCTCCGTGTGTCTTTGACTCCCTTTTTCAGCTTGTGCAAAGGTGTTTTGTGGAACAGTAAGTGTATCCAAGGTATTTTTGCAACTGGAAGAGGGGCTTGTTGTCCTCCAGTGATATTGCCTAAAAAGAGGAAGGCCTCCAGCAGTGTGAGTGTGCGGTGCTGCCACAGGGGGCAGGAGATGGGGAATCGCAGGCATGAAGGCAGTGCCTGTATTCCCGCCAGTGGCAAGACTAACCTTAATCGAAAACATGAAGGGGAAAACACCCTTTAACTTAATAAATAGAACCAAGAGACGGCTTCTTCCCTTGTTCTGCAGACAGCAATCCCCAGCCTCCTTTCACTTTTTGAAAACAGAGGTAAGTATGTGAGTGAGGGTAAGGGAGAAACCCAACTGGAGGAGTGTTTTGAAGAACCACAGTCTGGGAATCTCGGTTTTTGTGGCAGGCAGAAGCCAAGGTGTGGTTCTTGCGAGTGAAACCAACGCAAGAGGGCATGCGTGGAGAAGACTGCCATCCCTGCAGCAAACCAGTTTTTTTGCGGGGGGCAAAGCAGGGCTCCACGGCGCAATCCTGGGCAAGCTGGTACTCTTTACCAGAGTGCTTTTTCAGTCCTGCAGCATTGCAGAACAAGAACCTGCCCTTCACAGTCTTTGTTTCACAGCTTCATTTGTCAAAATTTCCATTAAAGTCCAGATTCAAGTACAGGCAGTTCAACTTGAAAAATTTAAAAAGATTAGTAGTAAACAAAAGATAGTCTCCATATGTGAGGTGCTCTGCAAAGCACAACACCGCTGGTCTCCTAGGGCGCCTCGTGCAACCGAGGAGCCAAACAGCCTTCTGCATTGTCATTTGCTGGCCCTTTGTGTGCAGTGGCCTACAGCTATAGGATCTCCTCCCGCTGTTTTTTCAGCTTGGGTGTCGCCTGTCCGTTGCGCAGGAAACCGTTCTGGTTGTGCAGCAGCTTCCCCTTCTCCCGATCTGGCCACGTAAAGATGGCTTCGTCACTGTCCAGCTCAGACTCGGAATGCATGAGGCTGGTGTTCTGGGCCTGGGATTTCTGTTTGTTGCCTTGGAAAATAAATGAAGAAACTTAAAGAGAACCTGGAAGCATGAGACACAGAGAGATCCCTGGTCCAGATATTATTTTATATACTTCTATGAATGGTAGCTTCACAAAGTAACAGACAAGACAACAGGACTCTGTCCCAAAGAGATTACAATTTAAGGGTGACAGAGGAATATTTATTTATTTAAAAGTTTTATATGGCGTCCCAGATGCATGGTGTCTCGGGATGGCTCACAATCAATAAAATCAAATACCTTAAAAACGATCTAACAATAACATATAATTTGGAGGAAGCAGTAACAAAAGAGGACAGTTTTCAGTGCAGTTGCACACACTTCGACTTGGGGGTAGTACCATGTACATGCTCTATAAAGAATCTGAAGCCTAAGTGAGAGTAATTAGTGTTAGAATTGAACAGGAATAAAGAAAAATAGGGAGACCGCAATGAAACCCACATGCTCTACCCCTGCCTCTTCCTGATTTCAGTCTGGTCATGCTTCCCCCTCCTCCCTCCCATTTCCTTCTAACTACAGCAGCCAAGCAGGTCATCATCCAAGCTGCCAGGGCAGGGTGCCCGCCAGTCCTGGGCCTGGGCAGGCAGCTCAAACAAGCAAAACTGTACCATGCTGGAGACCAGCATCCTGCTCCTTCAGAGACATGAGAGGTCTTCAACTGGGCGGGGGGGAGCTCCCCCTACAACCTTCTAAAGCAATAGATAAAGGTAGGGCTGCAGAGGAGTCATGAGGAGCAGGAATCCTCCTCCAGGACATGAGGGGAGGCGAGATAGCCCACTTCCTGATGGAGGCAGAGGGCATGCTTGCTCGGGGGCTTTGTGACAAGAAGGTTCATGTCACCTTTGGCAACCAAGAACACCAGCCAGCTACCGACCATGCACTGCACCAGAACTTCTGGGCCAAAGCTGAGGTGTCAGTGGGGCCAGCATTTTCTTCCAAACCGATGCGCTTAGGGAGCTCACAAGCAGGGAAGGAAGGCAGGAGGCGTTCCGAGTGCCAGCGCAGAAAGCCACCTGTGAACCAGCTGAGCTGGAAGCAGGCAAAGCTGCTCTGAGGTGGAAAGAGGCAGCAAAGGCAGCTGCCACAGTGCCCTCTGCTGCTGTCGCGAAGCGGCTCTCCACTCAGCGGGAGCACCCACTCGGTGCAGAACACACCTGCGATCAGACATCACTTTCAGAGAGCAGGCAAGGACTGAAGGCCATTTTTCGGGCACTAAGCAGCTCACCTATCCTGCCACCCTACTGAGAAAAAAGGAGGGTGGTGTTTAAGCTATTCAGGTCGTGGCAGTTTACATCGGTCCATTTTCTGCAACGCATTCTTAGCTTTGGCCCAGCCAGCGGGGCGGCGGCTTGCATTGCCAGGACTACCCCACAGAATCACTGTCTCCTTGCTCAGAATCCTGCTGCAAACAATCCCAACTGCTTTTTTTAAAAAATAAATTAAAAGCAAGTATTTAGACTTAAGGTGCTCCAAGCCAGGTCTGATGAGGGAGGTGACTGTAGCTACACATTGCCTGTGTCAGGGGTTGGCAACCCGCGGCTCCAGAGCCACACGTGGCTCTTGAACCCCTCTGCTGCGGCTCCGTCACTCAAAACACGCGGCCGGCACAGTCGCTGATCTGCTCCAAGCTCCACTCAGAAACGCAGCACTAGCTAGAGAGGTCCGCCTGGAGCTATAAACACAGAGAGGTCCGCCTGGTGCCGTCGTTATTTGTTTTTCAGCGCCAGGCGAAGCCCTTTTTATTCAAATGTTATTTTAATTGTTAATATTATTAATTCATTTTATTCTTTGGCCAGGGCGACTTAATTTATATTGTTAATTTATATTATTCTATTGAAGTTTATTTATGGTTGTGAGCCGCCCCGAGGCTTCGGTGAATGGGGCGGCATAGAAGTCTCCTAAATAAATAAAAATAAATAAATAAAGTAAATCCTACATTCCTCTGCTAAACAAGCTTCCTGCAGGCTGCTGAAAGGATTCTCTTTGTCCCAATGTAATCTCCTTCATCTGAATGTTAAAAGCTGTGCTTTGGACCTGTCACAGTTCACAGCACTTGACTGTTTATCTGCTAATCAGTCACTAAACACACCTATATCTGTGATCTGAGATTTATTCAGCTCCCCCCGCCCCCAACCATGGATAAATCCGAAGAAAAGTTTCTGAAGAAAACCAAACGTTTAATGGTATGTGGGTAGATTCATTTGCTTTTACTGCTGACGAACTTATGGGGTTTGCTGTTTAATGCATGCAGCCCTTTAGCACTGACTTTGACTCTTCAGGAAGCTGTTCTCCTATTCAAAATATGTGAAAGGAGTCCTACTAGGTTATAATGTAAGATTAAAAATAACAGTTTTTAGTGAATGAACAAGAGCTGCAGCTAAATCATAATATAAAGATATAGATCTACTTCGTTTTAAGAAGATTCTTATAAAAATTCCAGCAATATTATTACATTGGAAGAGGGATGTTTGTTCAATATTTCACCACATGATAAAAGGATGAGGGCACACAGAAGCAGACGACATGTTTGCTTTGCTGCTAGTGGATAATATAAGTTTGACTTTTTATTTCATAAATATGAGGACTCAGATAGACATTGAGTATTTTATTTGAAAGTAACTTTCAACCCAGTGTCTTTTTTTTCGGAGTTCAAAATGTTTTTGCTGCATGCAGAAATAAAAATTTGTTTTCTCTGTAGCAGTTCATTGATTTCATAAATGCAACACACTATAGTTCTTTTATACATAGCATAAAGGTAAAAAACTATATATGCAGTGTTATCTTCATTTTAGATGTCAAAAGAGTTTTGCGGCTCCCGGTGTTTTCTTTTCTGTGGGAAATGGGTCCCAATGGCTCTTTGAGTGTTAAAGGTTGCCGACCCCTGGCCTAGGTCATTCCGACCTGTATGAAGCATATCCAGCAATACAGCCAAATTTTAAAATGAGTCAGCTTGCTGGTCAAACTTCGCTGGTTTGTAAAAGCAGGTGGCTTACCTATAACCGTTGTTGTTCAAGTGCTCATCTGTGCATTCACACATGTGGGCTTTGTCGTGCAAGGGCTTTTCACCCTGTTCTAGAAAGGGTGTGTAGTTTGGGAGTGCTCCTCAACCCAGAGCTATCCTTAGAGTTCCAGGTGACTACTTTGGCAAGAAGCGCTTTCCAGCAGCTTCAGCTGGTCCATCAATTACGTCCTTACTTGGATGAGCAACAGTAGCCCATGTTCTGGATATCTGAGGGAGTGTCTCCTTTCTTATACACCTTCCTATCCCCTAAGATCCTTGTCCGAGGTCCTTCTTCGGAAGCCCTCTTTGAAGGAGATCAGATGTGTGGCTACCCAGAGAAGGGCCTTTTCTGTGGTAGCGTCCCAGCTCTGGAACCTGCTCCCCAGAGAGGGGTGTCTGGCACCAACACTTTACTCATTTCAGTGCCAGGCCAAACCTTTCTTATTTTCCCTGTTTTTGATGTTAGTTTTATTAAATATTTACATTCTGTTTTTGTGTGCTGCCACCGTACTGCATCGCATTGCACTGCAGCGCAGCAGTGCTCCATGAAGCTAAGGCACTGCAGACGGGTCAGGCTCAGGCTCTGGCTCCGCCTGCTGGGATATCTGCAGGCCCAGGTCATCTGCCATGTGGAGGACCATACTGCTAAACCGACCCATCCCTCCGGGGGATGAGCTGGATCCATTGAGAGGAGAGTTGCAGTGGCGACTGGGTCCAGCTGTTGGTGCAGCAGTGGTGCGGGGCAGGAGGCCTGCCATGGCTGGGGCTCATTGAGAGGTCTCCATCGGAGGACCTGGAGTCCTCTGTCTCCACACGGTGCCTTCAGGGCAGCATGACTGGGTTGGTGAGGCAGTCTGAGGGCTCCAATAGCTCCTTGGGATAGGTGCAGGTGGGGGACCAGGGCAAGCTGTGGTCCCAGTCTGAGGGGAGAGCAGGGTGAGCCCTGCTGTCCCCTGGAGGACTAGCTGTGAGCCGCAGCTGGCATGGGTGAGCTTGCAAGCGAGGAGAGATGGTGACACACGGCCCTGGGGTCACAGGTGTTGGAGGTGACAGCAGTGGCGACTCGCATGCAGGAAAGAAGTCCCTGGACTGGGCATGGGCACACGGGCCTGGTCAGTGGTGCCCTGGGATATGGTGGAGGTGGGCAGTCCCCATGCAGGAGCTAGCCAGCCAGAGGAGAGGTTGGTGGCCGTGGGCTAACGTAACACCTTTTCTTCCTTGGGGCAGTCCTGGCGCAGTTGGCTTTTGTTTGGATGAGGTGGTGGCTGTTTTCCTGGCCAACTTACTGGACCTCACGGTCTCTTCAGCAAGTACGGTGGGAGGCCTCTCAGCTTCGGCTTTCAAAGAATGGGCCACTCAAAGTGTGTGCCGCCACAGGGCAAACTTGAGCGGATCTGCCCGCTGCCAGAGTGCCTGGCTTGTAAAAGCCTGGTGCTGAGGGCAGGTCTTGGCCATGTGCCCCTTGCCAAGGCAGAGCTGGCACCGGGAGTGGCAGCCTGCAGTGGGCAGCCATGCAGCACATGAGGCACAGTGTGAAAAGGCTGGGTCAAAGGCCGTGGTGGAAAAAAGAGGAGAGAGAGAAAAGGGGGGCGGGTCTCTCCTGAGGGTCTGTTTCCCTCCTTGGGAGAAAAAACAATTTTGAGGAATGAGAAAAAGGAGGAAACATACAACTTTAATTTACAGGTGTTTTGGTTTAGGAGCATGAAGACACAAGATAAAAAGTGGGGAAAATAAGGTAAGGCAAAAGAAAAATGGTGAGCAATAGTTGCATTCATTTCCAATCTAGTCGATGCAGCGTGCAGTTGAAAAGGGACTGAGGGACTGGGCAGGAGTCCCACCCTAGTTACTCAGATGGGCAGGGGGCTCCCGCCCAATCCATGGCGCTGGGCTATAGATGTTCTTTCCAGTCGAGGCCTTGTGCTGTGTGGCAAAGCCCACGTCCGTGATGCACAGAGCCCACAACAAAGAACGTTCACCTTTTTAACAAGCGTGGACCGGAGTTTTGCAAATTTGCTATTCAGTTCGCAATTGCCCACACAATTCTTATTTTTCACTTCAGCAATCACGTCGCATCTATCACTCCTGTTAGATTGGTTTGGTTATCACTCTGTGTGTGTGTGTGTGTGTGTGTGTGTGTGTGTGTGTGTGTGTGTGTGTAGCACATTCTTTTATATGTGTACAACAAGTAAGCATGTTCTTTGCTCACTGTTGCTGGTGTATGGAGTATTTCTGTTAGAGGTCATCCAACCACAACCAACCAGAAAGCGGTACATAGTATGGTGACGCATGACATCGTGACGCTTTTCACGTTCCCAAATGACAGCTCTTAAGATGTGCTGTGATACTCCACATGTGCAGGGTGCAGCTTTTCCAGAAAAAAAGTTCGTTTTGAACTGTAATCCAAGCTTACATGGACAAGTGCTTTATTATCCACAGATATAGTAAATTCACCCAGCATAATTTTGTGCATCACTGAGTTTCCTGAAATGCCTCCATTTTCTGAGGTGCCTTTAACACGCGTACTTCTAGTCTGGCTATTTCACTTTTGCAGCAAAAGTGAGACTTAGGACTATTTCATTTCTGTACTGTCTGAAAAATAGAGATATGGGCAAAATGGAATTTTCCACCAACTACCTGCAGGCCTCTCTACACCATTCAAAGCAAGCCCAGGTCGATCACTTTAAAAATCAGAACTGAAAGACAGGTCTAACATAAAAATTACTCTGAAATCCCTCTCAGAAATCTTCCACCACCGAACATGTGCACAGCACTCAGAAAAGGTGGCCCTGATTTTACTGAATTTCTAGCAAGCATCTGACACACACTGCATATCTGAGGGAAATGGGCCTAATAAATGAAACTTTCAAGCAGAGCTCTGAGCTTTCTTACGCCAAGCAGAGTTTAATACCCCCTGTGCACAGAAAGCAGCCTGCATCAGCATTCTGCTGGCGCTAGCCTCTTTTCTGATGACTTACCTGCTTTGGGATTTGGTTTTAACTCCAGGCTCTCTTGATCTGTAGCATCCAAAATCTTATATTTACTCTTCCTTTTGGGTTTCCCTTTACGTCTTGAGAAGACAAACAAAAGGAAAAGACAGAGGTTGAATCTTAAGAGGAGGTGCGGTGCCCTTGTGGAAGATTAGCCCTTGAGCGGAGAGGCAAGGGCCTGGGGCCATACTCACCTCCTGCAGCAGCACACCACCACCCAAAAGAAGATCCCGAAGGAGACCACGATGACAAACAATGCAATGACGACGTAGAGCACACTCCATTCTGGAAGAAACGCAATCCCAGAGTGTAAGCTCAGCATGGCCTGGTTGGCGGCATTTAATTTCGGCAGTCATGATCTGAGCTGTGGTTAGATCAGGGCTGTCCAACTCGATGCTGGTTCTGATGCCCCCCTCCCCCCACCCACTTTTCTAGAAAGGAATGCAGAAAGGAGAATGACCACAGAAAGACTGACGGAAGCAGAAACCCAAATGAAACCCCATTCTTATTTCCGGTCAGTGATTAGATACAATAGCAATTTAAGGAGGCACTAAAATTTAAACATCCTGTTGGGTATTTACATTTTAAATACCTTTACACTTTAGAATCAATCTGCTCTTTGTATGCTTGAAAGTATTGCACTGGGGCTTGCTTCTGAACAGAAACAGACACAATTGAACTGTACTTTGTATGCTTGGTGGGTAAAAGTCCAAGCTGGGCAGAATCTCTTTTATGCATGTGTGTTGTACATGCACACATGTCCCCCTGACCTCCCAGCACCACCCAGGTGCAGCCCTCAGGGCCAGGGCTCTATGTGACTGTGCTCCAGCCATACAAGCCTTATGCTCAGGCATGAAGGGTCCCTGTTGCTGTTGCCAGGTTCCATTACGTATGAACACAGAACTGTGGCTTACCCCAACTGCAGTTCATTAAAATATATTAAAGTCAAGTTTACTGTGGCTTAAATCAGGGTAGGAAACCTAGAGCACTGCAGATAATTTGATCTACAATTCCCATAATCACTGATCAACAGCCACACTGGCTGGACCTTACGGAGGCCGTAGTCCAAAACATCTGGAGGACACCAGATCGCCTAACTCCAGTTTCACTGATAACTGAAACAGAAATTCTTAAGATTAACTGCTCTTTCTAAAGTAACAGAATGTCCAACAAGATTGCAAAGAAACCTGCTTTTACCAGACCACAGGGCTCTGTGCCCCACTGGCCCGCGCACACAAATGCTAACATTTGCTATACTGCAGCACTAGGCTGGCACAGGATGGAGAACGATAAGTGTTTAGTGAACTGCCAGGAATCAGGCTGCCAGAAATGTTTGGCAGAACAACCTATAGAAACAGTTTATTTGCAGGTTGAATTATGCTCCTTACTCCTAAGAAACTGGAATCCTATAGAGCTGCACTGAGTGACCCTTGGATACAAGAGTGGGATGCAAACAATAAATGGAAGGACTGAACTGAAGGCAGAGCAGGGAAGCCATAGCCCCTCGTCCCAGAGAAACTGCTCACTGGAGCATCAGGAAGTGGCTACTCTACAATTCTCCTCTGGAAGGGAAACCCAGGCGGACTCGAAACAGCTGCCTGGCTTTAAAGACATGAGGTCCAGTGTTGTGCTGATTTCTGAGATTTTGGATAGCACAGAGAATCCTTACAGGCAGCCCACGAGCACACCTCTGCTCCCAACACATATACTTTTCAGACTGGAGCAAAGTGAAATCCCCCACCTTCTGCCAGACATTTCACAGCATCCCACTATCCCCACAGTCCTGTGCAGCGTGTTTTGACAGAAACACAGTCCTACGGCTCCTAGCTTTCCCTGGACGGCTGGCTGGGGAAGAGAGATCGCAGCACGCAGAGGACGGTGCCCTTGGCCACAGCTCCTGCCACAGAGTCTGATGCAGAGCCTGCTCTGTTATGAATGCAGGGACGGGAAGACGGACTGCGCCTACCACAGTTGCTCTCGCCATCCCCCAGCTGTACTCGAAGGAAGTTCTCCATCCAGAACGGGTCACAGACGCAGCGCTTGGTGAAGGAGTTGCAGTGCCCGTGCTCCGAGCAGTTCAGCTGGCACGCTGCATGGGGAGAGTGGCAGGCAGGTGCATGAATCGGCACATACAGACACGTTGCTAGGGCTCAGCGTGCATGAATGGGGGTTATTTATTTATTTACATGCATTTATAGGCTGCCTATAATTGCCAAGACTAAGAGAGCTCCCCGTTCACTTTACAGTCTCAGGCTAATGAAGCTCAGGCCATCCCACTGCTTTAATGTTGGGCTTACTGGGGATGTGTACACACAAAGCCACTTGGTGTTGGAGGACATCCTCATTATTGCAAGATGGCTTAATAAATGAGCCTGTAACTCACACACCAGCAGCTTCTGCCTAGCCAAAGCATGGGGTGGGCAACACACAGCCCAGAGCATAAGTGGCCCACCTGGCCTCAAGCACAACCGTTGCCCCTACTGCCTTTGCTGCTAAAACAGCCAGCGATGGGTGGGGAGCCACTGCAACGTCGCAGAACAGGGCGGTTTGCTGAGGCATGTCGACATCAAAGTGCAAATGGCAGCACTGCGGCAGCCGGAGGTTCCGGGAAAGGAACAAGATTCCACTGAACGGCATGTCTTGAGTGCAACTTGTCTCCCCCAGCCCATCTTGCTATTGTACACTTACGATATCAGTGGGATCAGGGAAGGTGGGAAAGGAGAAAATCTTTGGAACCTCTTGCTAGAACAAGGTGGCACAAGGTGACGAAGGATGGATGGCAGCCACTTCAGTGGTTTCTCTTGACTTACTGACAGTATTGATCTCCAGTGCCCGGAAGATGAGGAAGGCTGACTGCTGCTTCCGCAGCTCACTTTTGAGTGTCCGTGCGACATCATGTCCTTTCAAGACCTGGTGAGGAGACTGATTCCACACGTAGAACACCATCTTTGTGCTGCAACGAACACAAAAATCAGGGATGCAAGAAACATAAATAGCAGGTGGAGTGGGGGAAGGACATAAGGAAATATTTCCATGACAAAACATCTTCTTGCCCCCTGCACCCTCCAAACTTTAATTAATAGTTCAAGCTTTTTGCCAATAAATCCAAGTACTCTAAGGAGCCAATCCTTGGAAGCACAATCATTATGCAAAAACAAGGAACGGTGTGCACACACATCTGCTCTGTTTGCATGATTTATTTTCATTGCAGACTTCAGATTTTTCCAGAGCAGAAGATGCATAGCTCTGCCTATAAAGGACAAGAGGTGGAGGGGCTTCTTCTTGTTTGTTACCGAGTGAGCTGAAGCAGCAGCACAGAAATCAACTTGTGCAAAACCCCATCCTGACCAGCTGGCACCGTTGAAGCTGCTCCTTCAAAAAAAGAAGCACCGCAGAGGAAAACAGAAAATGCAGACGCATTCCATTTACCTAATGCTTCCCTAACCGCCGCCAAATACGTATTGATCAGAGGCAAACCTCTTCCTCTCCTGCTTGGAGGAAGAATGGTAAATGACTGGTCTGAGACAGGGATGGAGAAGCTAGAGGAGAAAGGCAGGGTTAGAGCTGGAAGCACAGAGCCCTGCTCCTTCTCAGCAGAAGTCGTTGTGGGGAAAAAAGTTTCCCAAGGTCAACAAAAGCAAACACTGCTTCTGCACCAGACGGTTCCATTCAGAGGCAGGGAGGGAGTGGGCAGGCTGTGGCAGCGGCACTGATCGAGAGGGTGCTTGCGCAGGACTGAGCACCTGGCTCCCGCACTGTAATACTGCTTTGTGCTGCGGAGGAGCTCTGGCCTCCTCCCTGACGCAGTCTGGGGTTTCAGGCTAGGATTCCTTCCTCCGTTTGGCCCACAGGCCAGTATTTTCCAAAGAGGCTAGGTTTGCAGGTTAGGTGGCACTGGCAACCAACCTTTCTAAAAAAGCAATCCAGTGGGGAAAAAGCGCACAGACTGGGTGCGGCCTTGCCTTGTAAGTCTGAAGGCATGTTCTCGTAAACTGGAGTGGGTGCAGGCTTTCTGCTCTAAGGTATCTGCTGAGCCCCACACATTTGTTCCTTGAAAGGATACACAAATGGCTCTGAAATGAATGTGGGTTACACTGCAGAGGATGCTAAGAAAAAAGTGGTTAGCTATGCAGAATGCTAGCGAGGGAGCTCAAAGATAACTCCCATCACCCAACGGATGGACTTCAGATTTCACTGCCCTTGCCCTTCCACGTGTCTCCTACATCGCCAAATCATCTGGATCCTTATGCAGAAACATAGAAACAGAGCGAGTCAGAAGGGGTCTCCTGGGCCATCTAGTCTGACCTCCGGCTCCAGCCAGCTCCACTCATGACATGCCCACCATGTGCATGTGTAGCCTATCCTTGAACACCCGCACCGATGGGGCCTCAGCCACCTCCTGTGGAAGCCTATTCCATACTCTAGGGGACCTAATCATCAGGAAGTACTTCCTGGCACCCATCCTGAATTTTGGTTCCCTGAGCATTGCTCCATTGGAACACGTCCTGCCCTCCACTGCAGAGGAAAAAAGGTCGTGTCCCACATCTGCATGGCACCCCCTTACGTAATTGTATGTCTCTAAGTGGTCCCCCTTTGAGTCTCCTCCTCTCAAGGCTAAAAAGACGCAGCTCCCTCAGTCTCTCTTCATATGGCTTTCCCTGCAAACCAGCCACCATCCTAGTGCACTGATTTTGCTGCACTGATTCCAACCTGGCTATATCCTTCCTGTAATGAGGGACCCAGAACTGAACACAATACTCCAGCTGAGGGCGCACCAGAGTCGTATAGTGTGGCAGCAATACCTCTATCTTGAAGCCACACTTCTGGATATGCATCCAAGGGTGGCGTTCGCCCTCTTGACCACCACGTCACACTGCTGGCTCATGTTTTAGGCTGCAGTCAACCAGCACCTCAAGATCCCTTTCACAAGTGCTGCTCTCCAGCCACTTGTCCCCTAACCTGTACTTATGACACCTATTCCTATGCCCCAAGTGCAAGACCTTGCACTTATCCACACTGAACGCCATCCTGTTGTCTCCTGCCCACTTCCATAGTCTGTCCAGATCCTTCTGGATCTGGAGTACCTGCTCCTCAGTTGTAGCCACCACCCCCATTTTAGTATCATCTACAAATTTGACCAGGAAACTTCTCACCCCCTCCTCCAGGGCATTGATGAAAAGATTGAATAGGATCGGTCCCAGGACTGAGCCCTGCCGGATCCCGCTTGTCACCATCCGCCATCCCAATGATTCCCCAGTAATAGTAACCCTCTGCTTTCGGTCCATCAGCCATGCTCTAATCCACTGGATAGTGCATCAATTTATTCCAAAACTCCTCAGTTTTACAACCAGGATATCATGCGGCACTTTGTCAAAGGCCTTGCTGAAATCCAGGTATACCACATCTACTGCATCCCCTCCATCTAGCCACCTCGAAAAACTGTCATAGAATTCCACAAGGTTCATCTGGCAGGACCTGTTTTTGCAGAAACCATGTTGTGTGGCCACCAACCTCCCTTCCCTATATATGGACTCCAGAGCAATGGATGTGAGGCTAACTGGCCTATAATTCCCCATGTCCCCTCTGCTACCCTTATTAAAGAGTGGGACCATTGACTCCACCCTCCAGTCCTCTGGAATCTCACCCGTTCTCGACTAGGCTTCAAAAATGGAGGCCTGCAGATATGAGAGTTCCCCTGCCAACTCCCTAAGTACCCTCAGGAGTACATCAGGGCCTGGCGCCTTGGTAACCTCCAGTGCCCTGAGGAGCTCCTCAACTTCTAGGAAGGTGACTCTAGTCTGTGCCCCTAAATCCCTAGCTTCATCCAATCCCCCATACGGATCTCTCCCATCCTGTTTTGGTGAGACACAGAGTTAGTTATTTAGCATCTGTGCCTGTTCCTCACATCAATCCTTCCTCCTTATTAAGTGGTCCCACTACTTGTCTCCCCTTCCTCTTGCTATTTACATGTTGGTAGAAGCCCCTTTTGTTGCGCCTGATATTCCTGGCAAGTCTCAGCTCGTAATCAGCCTTAGCCTTGCGAAGAATCCTTCTGCAACAGGCCTCCTCCCCCCGATATACCCTTTTGTCTACTTGCCCCAGTATCCATTTTCCATGAAGGTACCTCTTACCACATCTCCTCTCATCCATGGGGGCACTCTCTGTTGCCTCCCCACCTTGCTGCTAGAGGTATTGTCAAGGCTTGCGCCTCCAAGACCTGCCTTTTTAGTGCCACCGACCCCTCTTCAACTCCCTTGCCTTCCAGGACCCTCTCCTGGGAGACTGTTCCCAGTTTGGTCTTCAACTGGCCAAAGTTGGCATTTGTAAAGTCCCAGCTTCTAATACTTGATCTGCCACTCATCCCCATTCCCCTGATCTCAAAGCAAAGGATGGACTAATCACTTGCAGCCAGAGCGCCCCTAATCTGCACCCCATCTATCAGCTCCTCCCTGCTGGTCATGACCAAGTCAAGGATATTCCCTCCTCCTGTCACCTCCTGGACCCTCTGCATGAAAGTCCCTCCCTCTAGGAAGCAAAGTGACCTGGCCGTCTCCACTTAGTGAGACTCCCAACTAATGTCTGGGAAACTGAAATCTCCCATAATTACCACATCCCTCTCCCGAGTTATCCTTCAAGGGAGGATTTACACATAGACCTGCCTAGATTTAACATGTGTATTTGAAACAGAAGTGGCAAAGCCTTTTTGGGGGGCAAGGGGTTGTCTGTCTCTCAGCAGGCCACTCCCTTAATCAACAGTGTTGTGAACAAAGTGCAGCTGATTTCTCCTGGGATGCAACCATGTCAGCTTTCTTAGACATGGACAGTTGAGGATCCTCTCTGTGGCCACATACCTCTGCTCAGTGTAAGGCTGGATCTTCTGCACAGTGATGTCTGAATCCAGGACCCCCAGCAGAACACCTATCTGGCGGATAAACATGCCCTTCTGCCGCTCTGTTAGCTGGCTGACATTCACATCCAGTATCATCTCCACAAGGCTGTTTTTCCTGGGATCTGGAAGGAACACAGAAGTATGAGCTGGAATTTTCATGCACAGGCACCACCCCACCAGACACTTGGAATTTTAACTTGCCAGATCCTCAGAATAGATTACACTTAAAAAGATCCCAATTGAAAGATGAGAAAATAAGCAAGTTACAGGGATCCCTGCATCCAGCCTAGCACAGAAGAAGGCCCAAGCTGGTTGTGCAGAGCATCCAAGGAAGAGTCCATCTTTGGAAAGCCGCTGGGGAAGAAGTAAGGCTTCTGGCAGCTGAACTGTTTTGCAATCCCATGTTGAGCCAACTCCTTTCCTCTTGCTCATCCACCCAATTCCTTTCTTCCATTTCATGGTTGCCCTTTGCTAAATCCCCCTTAGTTGTTCTCCAGGTTTCACATCAGGAACTGCCTTCCTTCGTACCATACCCTGGCTGCGGAACCCTCCCTATCAGCACTTTGCAGTGAAACGCCCTTTTCTATGCATGACAACGAACATTAGTTACCTGTGGGGCTCCTACACATTCCAACTTGGCAAAGATCAAACAGATGTAACAGACTGTGGGGACTGTCTGGCTAGCACGCTGCACACTTAATAACAGGATATACTTCCAACTTAACATGCATAAGATTGATCTTACCTAGTCATGTTTTTTAAAAAATTATTTATTTTTACTTATTATATCCTGCCTTTTTTTCCTCTCAGGGAACGCAAGGCAGCTTACATGATCCTCCACTTAATTTTACCCTCATAGCAACCCTGTGAGGTAGGATGGGCTGAGAGGGACTGACTGGCCCAAAATCATCCAGTAAGCTCCATGGCCAACTGGGGACTGGAACCTGGATCTCCTGGGTCCCAGTTCAATACTCTCACTACAGCACAATACCGGACCTGAAAGCTCAAGTATTACAGTGAGCATGAGTCTGAGCAGGGAAGCCTCCAGTATGAACCACACCTCTCCCATGGAGTCTCTTGGTGGCTCTAGAGAAGCCATTCTTCATTGCTAGCTCAGCCCCACATCTGTGCAGGGGAGTTAGCAAGTTTGGCCTACCTGTAATAAAGATGATTAAGATACTACTTGCAAAGTATGCAGGGTTCTGCACTTAAAAACTTATTATAACTGTACTATATTAGTTTACTTTAGTAATAGGTTTCTCAGAAGACATCAGATCCACACTGGGAGATAAAGGACTTACCAGGTTTCACTTCCACGGTGGCCCTGGCCACATCACTTTCCCCTTTGGCATCAGTCACCTTCAAATGAAACTTGTACATTCCCTCTACCAGGTTGGAGAGGAAGAGCACCGCATGGTGGTCTGAATTATTTAACACCTCCTGTGGTTAATGAACATATACGACAGTTAGACCCCTTTCAGCTCTGTGGAATGCTACGTGTCGTTTCGGAAATTTAGGATCAGGAGAGGTCTAGGACAACCTCTAGAACCCCCCAGAGCTGACATTCCCAGAAGCATTTCACAGCCTCCTAATGGTAATAAGAGGCACTGGATTTCTGCATGCAGAGCTGACTCCAAGGCCGAGGCCTGGCAAGGCTGAAGACGCCCTCCTTCTGCTAGGGTGGCCTTTTACAATCAGGACGATGAAGGAGTGCATTCCCAGAATATACATTCTAGAATGAGTGGCAACATTCAAGTTTAGATTTTTTATTTTTGTTAAAGCTCCGAAAAAGTGTGTCTCTAGACACAATCAAAGGCTTGATGAAATTCAAAAAACCCAAGGACATCGCAAAGGACCATAGATGATGAAAGGACAGCTTTAAAAATTAAGTGCAAACCTGGTATACCTCAGAGCTACAACTCCCATTACCTAAGCAGTGGATCTAGTAGCTGCAATGTACTGTCTAGTAGCTGCAATGTACTAAACACTCTGCCGTCTTTAACTGCTTGACTAAGGATGGCAACTCATGCATATTTTCCTGGGTTTGCTGAACTTTTATAAACCACTCGTACACAGATGTAAACATTGCAAAAAAAGCCCAGCAGCAATGTTGACATGACTCACTCCAGCTGCAGGACTGCTCTCATCCCGTGTCCACAGGAAGGTGGTAATTCCCTTGTCATCTGTTGATCTGGACCCATCAAGCTCTGCTGTGTTTCTAGGAAGGGTGATGATGACATTCCCAGCAACCTTTGCCATGGGCGGCTTATTTATCTCTGAGCAAAAATGGGGGACAGAGGTTGGCAATCCGAGCACAAAGAAGTCAAAATAAGAAAAGCAAGAGAGATAAACGTTGCCCCAGAGTATGAGCATTAGCAAAGAATTCTTTGCTTGTGGGATTTTAGCAATGTAGTAACAAGCCACCCATGGGTTCTGGGTGGCTTGTTACCCATGGCAACAACTCATCATTGGCAAGTTCACACTGCATGAGATAATCGTATGCAACAGGAATGCAGAGGGGGAATAAGCAACTGTGTCTTACTTCCCCTTCTGCAAGCATGCAAACAGTGCGTCCAAGCTAGTGAGAAAAATGCCACCTGTACAGTAGGCTAAAAGGTATCACATGACCCAGTGAGTTAGATACCTGGCAGCTTAAAGTTTGGAAGAAAAGATGCATGGCTGGAAGCCCTAAGTGCTGCTCGCCTTGGGAGGCTGGCTGCTGGTGCAGCAGGCCTCTGGAGCCTAGCAGGGTTGTTGAGAGTTCTGCCTGAGGAGCAGCTGGGAAATGTTTGTGTACTGACAAGTGCTGCAGCAACACTGAGTCACAGCAGGCCATTATGACTGACTGCCCTCATCTTCCATTGTCTTCGTTGAATGTGTTTTGAAATGCTGGACTTTGCAAACGGTATTGGCTGTATTGTGCGTTCTTCAAGCCTCCAGCATTTAAAAAATGGCTTCTTAAGAAAAAAAATGAGTTGCGGGCACATGTAAACAGGCTATAGTTCATGAGCCTCATTTTCTCAATAAAAGTTCAGAAAGAATTAGATTCAGTGGTTTGGAGGCAGGGAAGAACGTGATTTGGGGAGTGTGAGAAGCCAGATCTGATTGAAAATAGGAAGCAAGCATAAGCAAGCATAAGCATTCGCTTATTTATCATATGTGTATCCAACTCTTCCTTCGAGGAGCTTAAGTTCCAAAAAATACTGGTTTATTTATTCATTTTTAATCTGCCCGATAACTGAAGCTCTTTGCAACGATTCCAACAATTAAAAGACAGTACTACAAATAGTTAAAAATGTAAAAAGGAACATAATAGTGAAAAGTATAAATATTTGTATCTAGTCAACTATGTAGCTCATGGGGTAGCTTAGACTAGGCTGAGATGCAGTCACTGGCCCACTGCCACCCAGGAACTTGGAAAGCCAAGCCAGCAATTCTCTGGTCCTAGCCCACAATTCTTATTATTTCCTTCCCTACTCTGCCTCCAGGGGCATCGAGAGATTGTTATAAAGCAGCCTTCCCTAACCCTGTGTCTTCAGAGACGTTTGCACTGCAACACCCAGAGCTGTGGTCCAAATGCCTCTGAAGGTCACCAGGTTAGGGAAGGATGCCCTAGCTGGAAGAACTTCCTTGGTGGAGGCCGTCTTAGGCTGAGGGCAACCAAGCCATTTCTGTGCTTTCCGGCCACCCACCTTCCTTGACGATGACATTGACGGAGCTGCGGCTCTGCAAGTTCCGCTCATCCCGGACAGTCAGCGTGAATTCGTATGTCCCAACCTCAAGCCCAGTGACCGTGGCTATGCTGCTGTTGGCATTCTCCAGCTTCACACCATCTGGGCCCCTGGCCAAAAATCCAAAGAAATTAGGTTAAGCATGACAGAAACTCCTGAGAGAGAAAAAGGGGTTGGGATGAGTAAGTATTCCTCCAGACTTGCAGATGCCTCATGACAGCGCCAGCTCAAGCTACCCAGTGTTGTATTGAAACAACAGTTTTACTCTTCTTGCTTTTGTGGAAATCAGGGTGAGACACCATTTCCCCCATACAGCAGGTCAATGGGGGCATGTGTTTCTTTCAGAGATTTTCCCAATGGCCAGGCGCTGATACTACCCTCAGCAGCCATCTCCCCATCCTTACTTGTGCTGAGCCGGCCCTGCATGATTCCAAACATGTGTTGGGGTTCTGTGAGATCATGCATGTGACACGCAAGAGCATTTTAGAGTAGGGGAGTGGAACTGTATCTAGTTTTGCTTTTTCTTGTGTGAGGGCATGTGTGCTCATGAGTGAGAGAGAGGGAAGGGGAGAGAGGGGGGCACCGTGTTTTTTCCCAAAGGTAGGTGGTGATCTTCTGGTCATCTGAGCTCTTGCTGCCATCCAGAGTGGTGCTATCCACAGGGAGGGTCAGTTCTTTGTCTGGGCCAGCATCTGCCTTCGGTGGCTTGTTGTTTTCTGGGCAAAAGTTGAGAGAGTGAGAGAGTGAGTCACTCTAGGACTGAATAGGGTGTTTACACAGAGAGGCACGAACAAGGAGAGCCATAGAGGAAACAGCCTCACATCTTGCCCAGGGATACCTGAGTCAATGGTCTTTCCCAGTTCCACTAGTTAAGTTTCTTTAACCACACAAGCCATTTATTGAACCAGGGCATCTTACATCAGTCTTCAGCAACCTGGAACCCTCCAGATCTTTAGACTTCATCACCACCAGCCAGCATGGCCAGGAATGCTGGGAAATGAAGTCCAAAATCATCTGGAGGGTGCTAGAGTAGGGGAAGGCTGTTCTATACTCTAAGGCAGGCACCCTACCCCAGAGCTATGGACCCTGCATAAACTTCAAGGGTGCTTCCACACTAGATGATTACTCTGGAATTGCTACAACTTGGCCACTCACTTGTTATGCATGTCATGATCAGAATCCTGGTTAAGCAGGAAAGCTGGTGTAGGGAGGGAGAGAGGGAGCAGGTCTGCAGACTGCTCCTGGTCTGTTGATCATAGTTAAGATATGGTGCTTCCTCACTCTTCTGGCCCCTAGACAGTAGCATCTTCCTAGCTTAGCTTGATGCTCCTGTCTCCTTACAAAATGGGTGACACACAGGGAACTCTGAAATCAGGCTGCCATTTTCATGGGGACTCTGAAGTCACAGACTAGCCTCAGGGATCCAAAGCACATAATCTAAAAAACTGGAAGATCCTTTGCTCTCCAGCAGGCCTTCAGGTGTTCCTCTGTTTCTTGGTGGCCATTCTCTGTGCTGTAGAGTGAGCTACTTTTAAAACTGGAAGGCAGTTTCAAAGGTACTTTGTGATATAGTAATAAAACTGAAGCTGTGGGGAGAGAGATGGCACTGCTATTTGAGGAAAACAGGGTGCCAAAAAAGGTCTCATATAGTGATGCCTCCTTAAGTGCTTTTCACCCCAGCCACTGCTTATTTGCACTCCCCTTTTTCAGTCCACAGATATCAACCCTGAAGAAGCCATTCTGAGATGCAGAAGCTGTTTTCTTCCCCTTGCCAAACTGGGGCATTTGGTACTCAAAAGACTGCCTGCCTCGTGAAGCATACCGGGTTGCACAATCACCGTGACTTCGGCAGTGGACTGGTGGCCAGCGGAATCTGTCACCGTCAGCTGGTAAGTGTAGTCACCTTCACGCATGGCAGAGAGCTGCAGAGTTGAGGTCCTCACTCCCTTTGAAACAATACATTCCAAGAATTTAATCCCCCATTTGCAAAGAGGGAAAAGAAAAGGAGTGCTAAGGCATGCAGAGTTCAGTATAATATTCTCAAATATCAAACACTGAAAGGCACAATCTTATGTATGCTTAGATGCAAAAAATCCTACAATGCCCAGCTGGCTGGAGCATGCTGGAAGTTGTAGGATTAGATATGCCACACCATGGTGGAGGGTAATTCTACCCCACACAAGAAAGAAACATGATGTCCCGCTGGTCTCCCATTCTGGTCTCCCATTCAGTTTCTCCTCGTGTCTTCTTTAGCAATGGATCATGGTCACCTTTCACTATGGCTGCTATCCTATCATACTGGAAGTAAGCTCCATTGAATCCAGTTGGGATTATTTCAGAATAAATTTACATAGAATTCAACAGAATGCGCCTTCAACTTCTGCAATGTTTGGATTATTTAGTGCTTGAGAAATTATGTGCCATTGCTTCAGGATGCTCAGGGGACCCCCATCTTCAAGCATGGGAAAGCAGGGGCAGGTGTGGGGAGGAAAGCTGCCGCAGGACTGAGAAGGAGCCCCGGGCCAGATGAGGATGGACTACAGGCCAGTTCTACCCTGCCAGTGGCAGTTCCCCGCCCCTACTTCAACCAACTTTCTTTAGTCAGCTATCTCGAGCTGGTGCAGCTGAGCCCACTTACCCCATACAATGTTATCTGTCCTGCTCTTCAGCCTGAGCTGAGCAGTAGGTACTTTTGGGGAGGAGTTGAGGCTAAGATAGCTAGAACTGTCGCTGACAGCAGTGCTCAGGGAGGAGTGGGGGAATGGATGCTTCTAGGGAGAGATTACTCCCCAAGACTGCCAGAGCCTGCACAGGTCATCATGTTTGAGGTGAAGGTGTCTGTTTCTTTGTCAGAGGATGGAAGGTGTAAATACAAACTCCTGCCCCTGCTGAGACTATACCCAACTTAACCTATAGAGTTCCATTTGATGATGAAACAGAGATAGACCTTTTCTTCAGTGGCACCCACCCTATTTGTTTTGTTGTTTAGTTGCAAAGTCGTGCCTGACCCATCATGACCCCATGGACAACATTCCTCCAGGCTCTTCTGTCCTCCACCATCCCTTCCGAGTCCACCCAAGCCCACACCCACTGCCCCAGTGACTCCATCTAGCCACCCCATCCTCTGCTGTCCCCTTCTTCTTTTGCCATCTATTGTTCCCAGCATCACCCACCCTATGGTAGGCCTCAGTTCTGGAGTGTTTTCAGCATTTCCTGAAACATATATTTTTGCTTTGGCTTTTCCACAGCCAGAAGCTATCTTTGTACCAGCCTCAGTGTACCAATGAGTTAGTCTGCTATTCTTTTGTAAACATTTCAGACTTGTTTCACATGAGAAGCAGTATATAAATATTGCCAGCAATCAGATACATTTTAATGTCATGTGTTTATAAGCCACTTTTGACTATGTAAAAATGCTTTGAGAGCTTCTGTTGAAAAGAGATACAGATATATTCTAAATAAATAAATAAATAAATTTAAGTGAATTTGTATAGTGTATTTTACTGGAGTAGCTTTCCTTGCAATTAGTTTTGATTAAGCTAAATTTGATTTTGTTTTGCCTTGTGCTTGTGAACCACCTTGGGTAAAAATGAAGAGTAAATATTAGTGCCACTACAAGGATTAGAAATAGATATGACAGTGACCATAAGTACAATCTCTCCTTTGAACAAATGATTACTTAGAGGCAAGAGCTGAAGAGTGTGCAAACATAATGATGGGACAAAGGAAATTCTCAGAACTTATTGAGAGAAAAACAGTGTATCCTAACCGTGGGGAAACCAGGGAGGATAACCAATTTTACTTTAACATTTCTGAATAAAACTTCCAAGGATGGACAAACTCCCATCTTTTTAAGAAAGTTAAATGTGACTAGTTATAGACACACCTCTTTTCCCACTATCACCTGTGTGGCAAGTCTTTAAAACAACAGAAAAACCTGGTGAGCAGAGGAGATGGCTGGATGACGACAAGCCACCCAAGCTGCTCCCAGCTCTTCAAAAGAGATGGCTCCTTTTCTCCACTCTTGAAGAGGTTTGGGATTCTCTCTGAGTGTCTGGCTTCACATAACACATTCACCCCCTTGGGGAATTTTAATTATGTGCTGTGGTTAAAATTCCTCTGTGCCTGACAGATGAACAGGCCCAGCAGGGGTGGCGTGCCTCCTCCCTCCCTTCGTCCTCCTGCAGTGTCACAGATGACATCGCAGGAGGCTTGAACACTAAGGGGAGCAGGTGGACAGCAGCCAAAGTTGGGGTCTTCAGTCATGGCCATCCACTTCCGTGCTCAGAAAAGCAGGTTGCTTACCTGTAACTGATGTTCTTCGAGTGGCCATCTGTGCAGTCACACATATGGGTACTGCGCCTGTGCAGTGCCTGTGGCTGGAAGATTGTCAGCTAACGGTTTTTGGCGGGAAGCTCCGCTCCCCCTCCCTCCGTGGCCTATAAAGAGCGGAGCGTCCGCCATTTTGTTCAGTCTTTGCGACCGAATGTACGCCACTTTATGGAAAAAACTTGGTTTTTTGCTTTTTGCTTTTTTTTTTTTTTTTGAAGTCGGTACCGTAAAAAAAAAAAAAAAGGCATGGTCAGTACCGAAAGATGCATCCATTCACCGACACCGAGCGGTAGATGCATCCACTCACCGACACTGAGTGGGGCCGGCGGGTGGGTTGTGTGACTGCACAGATGGCCACTCGAAGAACATCAGTTACAGGTAAGCAACCTGCTTTTCTTCATCGTGGCCTCTGTGCATCACACATATGGGTAGATTAACAAGCTCACCATAAAGGAGGAGGGAAGGTGTCCTCATTGAAGAACGGAGGAGAGAACAGCTCTACCGAATGAGCAATCCCATCGAGCTCGAACATCGAGACGGTAGTGCCTGGCGAAGGTGCAAGGGTTCGCCCAAGTAGCAGCTCGACAGACATCATCAATCGGGACCCCAGATGCGAATGCAGATGAGGTTGCAACAGCTCTAGCAGAATGGCCTCGAGGAACTGAAGGCAGTTCGAGCTTAGCTAATTGATAGCATAAGACTATAGTGTGGACTATCCACTTAGAAAGTCTCTGTGGAGTGACTGGATCGCCCTGATCCCTAGCAGAATATTTGATGAATAGTTTATTGGATCGTCGAATAGACTCTGTTCACTATCGATAGAAGGCTAAGCAACACCGAACATCGAGTGAATGCAAAGATCTTTCCAATGGAGCCGACGGTGATGAAAAAAAGGCAGGCAGCACAATGTCTTGTCCCGTATGGAAAGGTGTAGACACTTTAGGCAAGAAAGACAGGTCGAGGAGTAAAACGACCTTCTCCCTGTGAAAGTTTAAATAAGGAGGGTCTATGCGAAGAGCGCAAAGTTCACTGGCCCTCCGGGCTGAAGTGACAGCTACAAGAAACGCCGTCTTCCAAGAGACCAATCGCAGATCCACCGTCGCCAAAGGTTCAAAGGGGGCCTTCATAAGGGCCTGTAGAACTACAGAAAGGCTCCATGTGGGCATCACCGGTCTAATTGATGGGTTAAGATTATATAGTCCCTTCAAAAATCTTTTGAGGATAGGATGAGAAAACAGAGGTGATCCGTCGACTAAGCCATGGTAGTAGGCTATCGCAGCTGTATACACTTTAATGGACGACGGCTTCAATCCGGAATGGTGCAATTCCAGGAGGAACTGAAGAATTTGTTGAATGGATGAGAGGAATGGAGAGAACAAACGAGACTCAGCAAAGGTGGAAAAACGTTTCCATTTAGCCTTATGTGACTTCTTTGTGGACAGCTTTAAGGCAGAGTCGATGATATGCTGAATATCAGGGTGCAAAAACGTCGGATTTGGATTCGACGGGTCTTGTCTCGAACCGGATGGTACAGAGAGACCAGAGAAAAGGGAAGCACCCGAGTGATTGGATTCGACAACTGGATCCGAGGTGGTCGAAGTCATCGTCGGTACCGATGGGTTAGTAGAAGCTGTCGGATTCGTAGCTCTCGAAACCGTCGTCGGCACCGATGGAACGTCCATCATCGAATTCGCCATGCTGTTAGGTTCAATGAGAGCAAGTCCGGGTGGCGAAGTGTGCCGTTCACCTGTGTTATAAGATATGGGAGTGATGGAAGATGAAGAAATTCCCCACGGGAGAGGTCGAGTAGTTTCGCAAACCACGCTTGACGTGGCCACCAAGGGGCAACTAGTATCCCCGATGCCCGGTCGTGCACTATCTTTGCTATGACCCGCATCAGAAGAGGGATCGGAGGGAAGGCGTAAAAGTTCATATTGTTCCAAGGGATCATGAATGCGTCCCCTAGGGAAGCGTGTCCAATTCCCGCTCTCGAACAGTAAGCCTCGCACACCCTGTTCTGTTGGGTAGCAACTAAGTCCACGTCGGGAAACCCCCAGCACTGGAAAAGGTGGTTACAAGGATCCAATTCCCACTCGTGAGAGGTGAACATGTGCCTGCTGAGAAGATCTGCCTGCACGTTGTCTACACCAGCTAGATGAACAGCCATCAGCGTGATGTGCCTCCGGATGCACCAGTCCCAAATTTTCATAGAAAGTCTGGCTAGAGTCGGTGACTTTGTTCCCCCTTGCTTGTTCAGATAAAAGATGGTAGCTATATTGTCCGAAGTTATCTGAACGATCTGATGATGAAGGATGTCCTCGAAAGAGCGCAGGGCCTTGAAAACGGCCAGTAGTTCTAGGAAGTTGATATGATTCGTGGATTCCCGATGATTCCACGTACCCTGGGTAGACAGGCCGGAGCATATCGCTCCCCATCCTAGAAGGGACGCATCGGTGCCAAGGGTTATCGTAGGAGGTTGCGCCCTGAAAGGGACTCCTATCGTAAGATTGGTCAGTTCCAACCACCAAAGCAGAGAGTGAAGCATGGAAGATGGGATCCGAATCAATCTCAACTGCGGATCTCTTTGAGGATGGTACACTCTGTTGAAAAAGAGTTGCAGTGGATGAAGCCGAAGCCTGGCATGTGGAACTACGGCAACTGAGGAAGCCATATGCCCCAGGATCCTCTGGATAGACTTCGCCGGGACCGTTCCATCTTGTCAGATTCGATGGATGTGGCAAGCAAGAGTCTGTTGTCTGTCCTGAGGGAGGAAGGCTTTTTCCAGCGTCGAATCCAAGCGGGCTCCAATGAAGGTAAGCGTCTGCATCGGAAGAAGAGAAGATTTCTCGGTATTAATACATAGGCATAGGCTATTGAGCAAGGCACAAATTGTATGGATGGCTGCAAGGAGTCCTTCTTTGGACTGCGACACTAACAGCCAGTCGTCGAGGTACGAGTAAATTTGTATGCCCTGGAGGCATAGAAAGGCACAGACAGGAGCCATGCACTTGGTAAAAACCCTCAGAGCCATAGCCAGTCCAAAAGGCAAAACTGTAAACTCATAAAGTTGGGTTGCAACCGCAAAACGAAGGAAACGCCTGTAACTTGGGTGAATTGAAATATGCAAGTAGGCGTCCTTCAAGTCCAATGAGGCAAACCAATCCTCTCTCCTTAGCAATGGCAAAATGTTTTGAAGGGTAGTCATACAAAACTTTTTCGGTACAATGAACTTATTTAAGTTCCGCAAGTCCAAAATTGGACGTAGACCACCATCCCGCTTAGGGACCGTAAAGTATCTGGAATAGAATCCGTGGAGTCCGTCAGATGGGAATACTTGACGAATCGCTCCTTTATGAAGAAGTTGATGTATTTCGTCGAGCAGTACCGGTGAACATGAAGTGGACCGGATCGGACTCGGCGGAGGAACGATGTCGAATTCTATTTGATAGCCGTGTTGAATGATGGACAATACCCACCGATCAGATGTGATGGACTCCCAAATGGGGAGTCAGCTTCGAAGCTGATCCCCAGATGAGAGGGGGGTGGGTATAGAAGGAGTGTGAGGAATGGTTTGCCAGTCCCGTCAACGTTGCCTCCGATTGTCGAAACGACGGCGGCCTTGTTGGAAGCGTTGCTGGGGCTGCGGATGGCAGCGCTGCTGTTGCTGGCGGTGTTGTGGCTGTTGCCTCGGTTGATATGATTGCCTGTAGGATGGATGATTCCAGGACCACTTACGTCTGGCATGGGACTGTATCTCCATCCTGCGTGCCATCATCCTCAATTCATGCAGCTTCTTGAGCTTATGGTCGGTGCGAGAATGGAAAATCCCGGATCCATCGAAAGGAATTTCCTCTATCCGGCGCTTGGTTTCTTCCAGAAAATTGCAATTCCGAAGCCATGCATGCCTTCGGAGAGAAAAGGCACCGACCAAGGCCCGTGAGTCAGTATCCACATGGTGCCTCGCCGTGGATAACTGCTGCACCGCAACCTGCATGGCTTCCTTAATCAGGACCTTCGTGAGGTCACCCTGGTGGTCTGGGAGGGTGAAGGCGACATTGTGCAGGTGCTTCATAATGAAGTATTGAAACCTCGCCAACGTCACCTCGTAATCTGATATGCGGAGCCCCAGGCCTGAAGCAGCGTAGACTCGCCTAGCCAGGGAGTCTATTTTTCGGCCCTCCTTGTCCCTCGGTGCTGTGTGCCCTCTCGCCTCTCTGCCCTGTGAGGGTTCGACGACTGCAGAGTTCGGTTTGGGATGTCAGAGGAGGAAGGGAATGTCCTCCTTCCGAACCCTGTACATCGACTCATATCTCCTGGACATTGGTTGAGGATGTGATGGCAGGTCCCAGGGCTGCGTCATCGCCTGCCACAAGGTGGTTATGAGCGGCAGGACGATAGATGTCGACTGCTCCCCATGGACGACATCGTAGAACTTGTCCGTCGTCGGTCCCGGGCGCTGGGCAGTGTCGATGTCAAGGGACTGGACAAGTCTAGACATCAGCTCCACGAAGGAGACGTGGGACTCATCAGGCGACGCAGGACCCTGGGATGTCACAGTGACGTCTGGGGAGGTTGAGTCGGCTTCTGAGTTGGCCGAATCGGCACCGTAGTAGGGTGGGGCCTCAGATGATGACTCTGCCGGGGAGAAGGAGCAGCTACTTCCATCCTGTGGGGATCGAGGTGACGCCCGCCTCGGATCCGATGAGCGCGGTTCATCACGGGATGGAAGAGAGGATCGTGCCCTGGGAGCAGGGTAGTACCCTACGGAGAGCGGATCACCCCAAGTATGGTAGTAGGGGCGACGCCAGCTCTCTGGACGTTGCTTTACAGAGCGGCTCCTCCGGCTCCCCGGTGGGGACAGTCCAACGTCCACTTCCATAGTGACCGCGGGCATGGGTGTCGGTGACCTCGCCCTAGGAGGGGAATCTTGGATTTCCCCGTCAGATATTGAACCCTGTAGAGTTGGAAGGGGCGCAGGTGGGAGGTCAACCGCACAGCGGGGAGACCCTTGAGGGGTAACCCGCATAGCCTCCTGGAGGACCTGTTTGGGCGGAGTCGGTACCGTAAGCGCCTCCGGTACCGAGGGGCCCATCAGTTCCAAGTCCCGATGTTGGGGACGGTCCGGACGGTCCGAATTCCTGGGTTTTTTGGGAGGCTTGGAGACTTTCTCCTTCCTGGACTTTTTATGGCCTGCCGACTTCTTGGATTCGGCATGCTTCCGCTTCTCGTGCTTCTTTTTAGGTGAAGCAGAGGGAGCCACCGAAGCAGACGCACCTCCATCCGAAGGCCGTGAGGGTGGGGCCACAGAAGCGGAGCCCGGTTTTGGGACGGCAATAAGCAGGTCCGATTGCATTAGGGCCCGATCCCAAAGGAGTCTCCGGAGGTGGTTTTCGCAGTTCTTCCTGGCCTGCTTGGAGAAGGCCAGGCAATGCGCGCATTTACCCGTCCTATGCCCCTCTCCCAGGCAGAGGAGGCATAGGTTATGCAGGTCAGTTGGTGACATTTTTGACCCGCAGTCCGCGCATTTGTGGAAAGCTGCTCGCTGCGCCATCGCAGAAGAAGAAGAAGAGGAGGAGGAGGAGGAGGAGGAGGAGGAGGAGGAGAGACAGTGCAGATGGTAAGTATATATTTTTGTTTGTTTGTTTGTTTGTTTTAGATAGATCGAAAGAAGAAATAACAAGAGAAAAAACTACGTGGAACAATGAACTGGGAGCAAGGAGAAGAAAACTGGGAAAAAGAAGGACAATCGAGAGCAAGATAACAGTCGAAGCAACAGTCGAAGCACGAGGCACTGTGAACGGTGGTCGCAAAGACTGAACAAAATGGCGGACGCTCCGCTCTTTATAGGCCACAGTGGGCTTCCCGCCAAAAACCATTAGCTGACAATCTTCAGGCCACAGGCACTGCACAGGCGCAGTACCCATATGTGTGATGCACAGAGGCCACGACGAAGAACTCCTGTCAATGCTGGCAGAGCTTGCATGCTCATGAGTGAACCTGTTCTCCTGGCATGGGCAGGGCACTGGGAAGGGAACCTGGAGTGGGGCTGAGAAGAGAATGTGCTGGTTTGAAGGCCCAGCTCAGCCTGATGCCACCTGCTGCTCAGCTGAGGCACCCCATGGCTGAGCAACAGGAAAGCTAACGATGTCTCTTCCCCATGGATCAGCTACAGGCAAGCAGTGGAGAAGGAGCACGGGTGGTCTTGACCAGAGAGGAAGAGGTACTTTTGACTGAGTTCTTCTGGGAGGAGATCCAGCTGGATGTGCCAGCCTGGCTCAGGCTGACAGTCCCCTACCCTTGGATGGTGCAGCACCCAGGAGCAGGAGGGCAAACTGACATCTCCCCTGCGACTCTTCCCAAGTCCAAAATGGGGCTGTGGAAGGTGGCACAGACCAGGCCCAGGAGCTGCCTGACTCACGTGCGGCCCCCTTGGAAAGAAGGCAGTGAGTGAGGAGGCAACAGGAGGGATGCCTCCTACCCAGTTTTCCCTTTTACCTGCTGGGAAGGGGCAACAGGGCTGGAGGTGCTGAGCCGCTCTGCTTGCCTTCTTTTCAAGGAAGATGGGCAGAACAGCTGCTTCCTGCCCACCACCACCACAAGAGAAAAGCAGGAGGTGTGCAAGGCAGGGGACAAGAAGGGACCAGGAAGGTCAGCACTGTGCAGTTCAGGCCCTCCCTTCTCCCAGCAATGCTGCCACTCAGCGGAGCACTAGCTCTGCCAGGAACAGGGAGGAGGAGATGTGGCCCATCCAAGCCTCCTCTCTCCAGTGGGAAAACGAGACGTGGGGAGATGGTTATCCCACTCTGCTTATCTTCCTCTCAAGGAGGAAGGCAAAAGAAAGAACAATAGAAGACCTTGACTAGATGCTAAATCATACTGAAATATTGAAAAAAACCAAATCTTCTGAGAGATTAGATTAATGCAGCTGGCAGAAATAAGCAAGAAGGGTGATTCAGGTCTTTCAATAAATGTCAAACAGAAGATTTATGCAAGTAAGCCTGACTACCATGGGTAACAATAACATCTACCTTCATAGAATTATGAGTCTTAGCATGCATTTGTACTTTTTGGATGTTAATTAGATGAGGAAACAGTTAAAGTTGTTGGGAAAGAGAAGTTGACAGGGATTAGAATGTCCTTACATGAACTTGACCTAAGCCTAATAGGAAACATTGATGGGAGATAAGCTCACTGCACTCAGGCTGGGCACAAATGGGACACCCAAAGCGCTTACCTGCATCTCCACCACCTTCCCTTTGCTGTTGGGACTGAGGGACCATTCGTAGCTGACAATGCCATGGTCGTCTGTGCTCTGGTTGCCATAGAGCGTAATGGAGTTTTGGGGCAGTGTGATCACCTGGTTGGGGCCTGCATTTGCCACAGGAGGGTAATCCACTGCTTTGTTCACGGTCAGACTAGCAGTGGTGGAGTTGCTGGCACCATCTGAGTCCACCACAGTGAGGCTAAAGAAGAGTGAGAGAAAGGCACATCTAGAATCAGGACTGAAACAGAAGAAATCAGCAGGGCACCACGACTGCCTGCTCATTAAGCTGCAGAAAATCAGCTGGAAATCCAGGGGAGGTCGTTCTCCCAGGCCTAGGGGAACGAAGTAATGGGTTAAACTGATTGTGTAGGGAAATAAATTGAAGAAAACAACAATGGATATTTGGAAAAGCTAGGAGAGGAAACAAACACAGAGAGTGATACCATTTGCTATTTGTATGAACTGCATCTATGACAAGACGACTGATGCCAGACTGCTATTTTACATAGTCAAAGTCTATGCGAAAATGATTTCTTGATCTCCTATGCTGGGTGGGTCAAGAATGCATTCATCAATAAACACAAGCAGTTTTTGTCAAAATGTTGATTTCGTATGCATAAAAACATCATGAAATTCAAAGTCATTTTTAACATTTTTCTATCTTCTTCAAGGTATATATATTCTTGGTTTTTATCATCTGCTTTCAGCTGTTTAAAACTTGTTACTGTTTCTTCTGATTTTTCTGACAGCAAAGATCAGAGTACATAGCAAAGGGTGAGATGACTAATGGAGGGATTCAACATGACAGTGTTATGCTGGGGCACTTCCTTTTGTGCTGTCCATTCCCCTGCCCCTTGCTGCTGATATAGCCAATATGCAGGAAATGCCTAGTAATATTTTGCTGGGCGTGGGTGGAGGGGAGGAAAGAGGGCATGTGTTACTACTGTTATTATTGATCTGTACCACTCAATGGCCAAAGCTCTCTGGGCGGTTTACAAAGGCAGTTCAAACTGTTTCATGCTCTTTGCAAACCCTCCAGCGTGGGCAGCTCTGTTCGAATGAATCTCATGTGCTGCTGAGGGAGTCTTTTGTAATTGTTCTTGTCAATCTTCACCCACGTGGAACCTACAGGCTGGAGCAACAATACAAATTTGCAGGTGGCCCAATCTATAAAAACCACTTGCAATTATGAACAGTTTGTTTTGAAGCTAATATCCACTGCCAAAATCAAAATAACATTTGAAAAGGTCCTCAAGAAGCATTAAAGAAGCCCCTTCCTAAGCAACTGAACATGTTCATTCAGCATTTTAAAAGGAGCACGATGAGTGAGCCTCTCAAGTGAAGTAATGCATGATCTAAGGCCCCAGGCATTCTTCAAAATACAAGTCAAGAAATGTGGGCAACTGGGATTTTGAACATAATTTGCTCTATGTACTGCTCTCTAGGATGAGGCCTGCAATGGAAAGCATGGGAATAGTTAATTATTTAAAATAATTTGCAAAACAAGCCCTGAGAACCTACAAACCATTTCCTCACCTTTCCAAAACAAAGAACAGAAAGCAGTTTAGCCATGGATGGTGGACACAGGAGTCTTCCAAAAAGCCCTTTTTGCTACCTTTACACTGACACTTCTATCATTAGCATACTTTCCTTTTTTTAACTCTTTGAATACATGTGCTGCAGAACAAATGGCAGTCGGAGTGCAACCGTTAAACAGATGTTATATTCAAAGAAAAATGGACAGCAGATATTAACCTTTTACAAAAGTAAACGCATCTAAAGATCCCTGCATCAAATATGCTAATTTTCAGTTCAGCGTGTTAAAATAATCAATTTGTTCTTGAAACTTTTTCCCCAGCCAGTAGTCCATCTGAGATATTCATGGTGAAGCATAATGGGTATGTTATGCCACAAGTTATTTTTAAAATGATGTAGCCAGGCAAGGGAAAGGCAAGTAGGTTTGGAGAAGAAAAACATCAGTGCTCATCCCTGATATATTATTCCTCTATTTTTTCTCCGCTAATGAAAGCTGTGTAGCCTCATAAAGTAGCAATGCAGGAACTGACAATTTTACAGACAGCAACTGCTTCTGTGGCTAGGGGAGCTGCAAAACATGGCTGATAGCAAAGAATTATGCCAGTTTAGCCAGGGAGCTGCCAGCTGATGTGCTCTCTGCTCACCCAAGCAGACGACTTCTGTGAACTAAAGTAAATGAGCTAAAAGATTGCTCCAAGGACCAATTCAGCTAGATTAAAACTGTTTTGGATGTGAAAATCGAAAGCAGGGGGATTAGCCCAGATGGTTTCTTACCTGAATGTGTAATTCCCTGGCACCAAGTTGGTAAGTGTCAGAATAGCAGTGTCTGCAGACACCTTCTCCTCCCGAAGAGGCCCCTTCAGTTCTTCCCAGTGGTAGCTGACTATTTTGTCATCATCGGTACTTTCTGAGTCAATGAAAACAGAAAATTAGGAGGGTGGGCTCCACCTTCCAAATAATTTCACAGATATTAAAAGCCTACTTAAAGCCATTTTGTGATTGTAGTACTATTTCCACAAACCAGAAAAGCTAATCTTATTTTTAAAGTGGAAAGTTACAATTAACATAGAACATTGCACTGAGAGGCAGTTTTAAAAGTTTGAGTAATAGATGCCAAAAATGTGAGTGCTGGGTACTATCAGGGATGAGCAAGACCATGTGGGCACAGATAATGCTTTGCACAGAGAAGGGTCCCAAGTTCAGTTCATTTATCTCCAGCTAAAAAATCTCAGTAGATTTGCTGAAAAAGACCAGTGAACCTGAAGTGTTGTGGAACCTCTTCCAGTTGCCCAAGTTGGATCTTGCCCTCACCAATTACTGTAGAGCAAAGTAACACCACAGCCTCTCCTTCATTTGAAACAGCAAGCATGGCTTGCATTTGAGCATGCATGAGAAGCACTTCACAAAAACCTGTCAGTGTGACATTCTACTGCAGTCCTAGAAATTCAAAAGCAAATTTTAAGCCTCTGTGGCAGGAGCAGCATAAAGCTCTCCAAGTATAAAATATTGGGTTCAGTAATGTATTTGGCAGTGAAGGCTGGCAGATGGCACAGCTCAGCAAGCCTAAGAATTATATACAACAAATGATCTGAACTGACTGAAAGGATGCACAATCCATGTACCCTGGTTACGAACAGACTGCCTCTCTCTGCCCCCTCGAAGCAACCTTTCGCTGGGGTTTGCACTAGTACTTACGGCTGCCATCGATGACTGTAGAGGTGGTTGGCAACGAGATCTCTAGGAACTGGGGCGATGCAATGGCCACAGGGGGTTGATTCACTCGAGGTTCTGCAATGACAAAGGGACTATGACAGCCACCACAGAAAGTCACAATCCTGTTCAAACAACAAGAAGTGTTATGGAACCTTAACATGTAATACAGCACATGCTTTTGTGGATTGGAGTGCACAGCATCAGATGCATGAAGCATTACCCTCAACTGGCCAGTTTACATACACATGGTTGGTTACACACAGCTCATCGGATGGAAGGGAAAGCGTATGCCATGAGAAATCTATAAGCCTTTAAAGGTGCCGCAAGGCTCTGCTGGTTTTGCTGTGCCACAGTGGCTACTTCTGTGAAAAGTCATCCTGTTCAGCTGTAGCACAGTAGCTAAGAGGCTGTGAATCTCTTTGGTTCAAATCAGACCTCTGCCCTGAAGTTACTAGGTGGTCTTAAGGCAAGAAGCTTCATCTGTTCCCTGCTGACACCTCCAACTTGGGATAGTATTATTCTGCCCTAACGGGGCTATTGCAAGGGTAAAATAATATATGTATAGTGCTTCATTATTTATGGTTTATTATTGTCATCATTTTTCCTATGGTTCAAACTTTCTGTAGACATGAACTCACCAGATGTCTATAGACAAGCTTCCTTTCTCGGCCCTTCCGACCTGCTGTATGAGTATAATGCTACTACACAGCTTACCAAGTGTTTGAATGCTTATAACAAGGATGGGCAATCTATGGCTGTCTTGACATTTTAGCCTACAACTCCCATGATCCCTCACTATTGCCTATGCTACGCCAAAGGTCAGAATATTTAGAGGTCCAAAATTTGTCCTCCCTAGACCTACTGGAAAGGCATCCACTGAAGTCAGTGCCATTTTCCTGCTGTTTCAGGCAAGCGTGTTATTGTATATGTGTAATGTGCCACAAGGCTCTCTTACAGAAGAAAGAAAATGGAGTCCATCAGCCGCCAAAAGGAGCATGGCTGTTACTGCCACTGCAGAAGAGACAAGCATGGCTTGGGACCAGACTATTGGAAAGAATGCCTTCTTCTACATTAGCCTGCCAAGGTATAAAGGTGCTGAGGTGAGACCCTTCTCTTATTATTTACACATATTTATAGGCCACTTATAACTGCTGAGGCCTTGCATCTTAGTACTGTTGCCAACAGTGGCATGGTTGGTAGGAACTACTTTTTTCTTTTAGTATTAAGTTTGCAATTTCATTGCTTTTCTGCAGTGTTTTAATTAAGGATTTGTTTTAATCTGGCCCTTTTTGTCCCTGCCTTGAGTGCAGTGTCCCTGCATTTGTTGCAAGATAGTAAACAAATAAAACAAAAAATCAAGACAGCAAGAGGAGGCGATAATTCTATCATACGATTCCATCAACCTTCCATCTGACTCCCCTACATCACAAATTCACCCAAAAGTTCTCCTCATAGAACTTTCAGTTCACCATAAATGCAAAATGCCTGTCTTGTTTCTCTGGACCACTAAAGAATGAACGAAAGATGTGAGCTGAGGGGATACAACAGAGTGGCTGAGCATACCTGGTTTAACTGTCACATTTACCATTCCTTCTCCATGTGCATTATCGCCATCTACTATCACATTGAATTCATACAGGCCGACTGTGAGCTGGCAAAGAAACACACATGGTAAATGTTAAGACATGGACAAAGCTATCAGTGTCTGTAAAAAACAGAATGGTTAAAATCAGGGGTCTCAAACTCATGGCCCGTGGGCCAATTGCGGCCCGTGGGACGATATTTTGTGGCCCCCACTTGATATCAATGTTTAGTGATAGTGCAGCCCACGCGTTTTTCTCACACGCACCTGCGTGAGTCGTTATCCTGGGCGCAATGTTCCCTCTAAGCTGCGCGCCGGGACTGGCGGGGCACGGGGAGGGGCCCTGCGGCCTTCAAAGCGCCGGCGGTGCCCGGGCCGGCCTCCGCGAGCGAGGCGGGATGAATGGCCCACCACCACCACGGTGGTGGAATACTTGATGCGGCCCAGCCTCACCCAGACTCTACTTCCAGCAGCCCCCAGGTAAGTTGAGTTTGAGACCCCTGGTTAAAATGTTCTTACTTTGAGGAACCAAGTTCTGCAATCCAGGAGCCATTGATAGCGCCCCCTTCCCACCCCAGTGAAACAGAGCCCTTGCTCTAACTGCTTGTGTTCTGTGGGCTGGTACTCAGGTCAGGCGGGCATGATGCTGTGTAGCCAAGCAAGATAATGCTTGCTATTAAAGGACTGAGGAGAAAGGAGCTCTTACTCCTCACCTTGAAAATAGTAATTGCCAAAAGGCAGGAACTGCTGTCACTTACATACCATTCATGCACACAAGACTCAAAGCAGAATACCAGCGAAACTGTTGTGGACACTTTACAATGGCTTTAGAATGTTTTAACTGCTGCCCTAATTTACTGCCTAAGCCAACATATCTGTTTACTCTGATTTTTCTCCAGCCACAAGCTCTTTTTGTGGCAGTCTCATGATGTTATATTGTGTGTATATCATTTTTCTTTGCCTGCTATGTTTGAGAAATATTATGTAAATATTGCAGATCAATCTTTGAACGCAGGAGGGGCTATTTTCTAGAACATTCCTTTGGCATAGCCTCATATATTGTAAACATTTTGCTCCTCCACTGGCTTTATTGTTTAATCCCTGTTGTGAGTATTGTATTTTATTGAAGAGGAAGGACAAATTTTCCAGCTTTTCTTATGGGTAACACAACTTCCTTTATTTTTAACCTTGGAAGCAACTTTAAGGATTTCTATTTCTCAAGACCAGAACAAAATACTAGGTTTCCCAATATCTTTGGTATGTTCTCTTCCTTGAAATATCTGGTCTAGAATTCAAAGCAGCATAAAAGTAGTTCTGTAAATTAAGGGCCCCATAGACTTGCTTTTCCTAAGAATAAGTTCTCGTTCTCTCTCACACACACACACACACTCACACACACACCATAATAAAAGGAAAATGGCTTTTGAAACAGTGGAGATTCAAAAATAATTTAGTGCAAGGCACTAGGGAAGGCAGGTGCCAGCTCTTTCACGTCACAATTCTGCTGTGATAGCACAAGACCACTGCACAAGCCTGAAAAATCCTCTGCCCCCTGGTACACTATCCAGGGACCACAGGATCATGTGTTATACATTAAAAAATGGTATTTTACCCACCATGCAACGGTCTGGAATTTGTCTGTGCTTAGTAGCCACAATTATTTCCAGAATATGGTGAAAGTGTCTCTGAATACCTTTCTGCCCAGCAAGTAACAGCCTGCGCATCTCATAGATTTAAGGGCTAATAGTGCAGCAGGTGCGGCTCCCCATAAGCCTGGCTCCCCTACAAGTCTCTCTCTGTAAATTCAACACTGCTTCTATTTCCCTGGAGGATCCTGCCACTGCACAGTAAGCACCAGCCTTCAAGCCAGCCTTTCCCTCTCTCCCAAAGAAATCTTCTCTAGATTTGCCTTCCTCCTGGTCACTATATATTCATCATTGTTCTTCCTTCCTTCTTTCCTATCTTAAGCTCCAGAGGACAAACAAAGGATGCTGGCCTCTACACCCCACTTCCACTTCTTTCTGGTGCAGGAATGGGCAACAAGAGAGAGAGAGGCCAGCTCTAATTGGGGCTGGGGAATGGAGGAAAATAAAAAACTTGTTTAGAATTGACGTTTGCCTTCTCCCATCCAGTCAGTTAAATCAATTTGCGAAGCAAACCTTCCATGTTCTTATCCTGAAGTGGCACTAGAGATTGTGCACTGGATGGTATTTCGAAAACGGCATTGTCAAAGTGAGAGGTGGAGGCTGGGGTCAGCTAGTTCTAAGAGATGGAGAGTGCTGGGAGAGGGGTACAAAAGGGGTTGCACAGAGGAAGCAGCTTTGCCGGTAGAAAGGGAAACAAACGAACTGAGCAGCACTGGAGAAAAACTACAAATGGTGTGGCGCATGCCCCCTCCAAGATCAGCCCACCAATCAGATGTGCTGTATCCCCAGGAAGGGAAGGGAGGAAAACCTTTCAGATGCCATTTGGAACTAGACAACAGTGAATTTCACCCAACGATCAGGTTTCCCTTGTAGCCTAATTTAAGCCTGAAAGCAACCTCATTCCCTGAGCTTTCTTGTGTGCAAAAACTTTCTTGTCCTGGTCTGCTGTCAAACGGGTTGGCTGAAGCACCTATTATATCTTCCTTACTATACTGAATGCCCATGTAAACAGTTGATCCCACTGATAGAAAGACCATTCATCTATATTGAATAGTTGACACCATTAAAGAATCTAAACACTACTTGTAAGTGGAGCATTCAGATTTTGCCCCGTTCCCATTCTTCTCCTCTTTTGAGTGGAGGGGCCACTCAACAGTAGATATTATTGTTGTCTAGAGGGGCATAGCTGGTAGAATTCTGCTTCACACACAGAGGTTCAGTCCTCGAAGCAGCGATCCTTCTCTGCTTAGAAGGATCCCAAGCAGCAAGAGTAGGAAAAGTCTTTTTCTGTGATTTTAGAGGGCTGTTGCCAATGAAAGTAGCCAACATTGGGTTAGATAGGCCACTAGTCCAGAAGTGCAAGGCAGCATCATACAAGTTTCCTTCCTGATATATTTCTGTCTTTTAAACCAAACCTTGGACAGCCTCTCCCTCCCTGAAGGTTCTGCATCTAAGTTACTAGGTAGCCAGAAATTCACCTTGGATAACTTGAGAATCCGTGAGTGCTGGCCTTCCATTTCTCCACTGTAGTCAGTAGGGTGTGTGATCAGCCTCCAGTCATACGAGTAGCTAGTTCCTAAATGAAAGAACATCAGCAAAGTAAACTGGAAGGAAATAATGAAGCCGCTCACAAGCTTAACCCTTTCTTTTAAAATGTCATAGCAATGCTACTTTAGGACCTAAGTTGTGTTACATTACGTGATGGACCTGAATGTTGGCCAAAGCATGAAACAGACGCAACTGAAAAGATAATTCCTATAAGCTTAGATTTGAATAAAAACATTACATTGTTTATACTATGTATTTGGCCAGAATATGTTGTGCTAAATTGAGAAAAAATGTCCATTCTGTATCATTGCAGACTGAAAAAGTAAATTAAGCACCTTCTCAGAAACAAACTACATCAATATTAAAAGAGGAAAGCAATAGTTCCAAAGATTCCCCCCCACCCATCCGCCCACTTTTTTTGCCAAAATAAATTGGTAAAACTTCTATTGATGGACGTGGCATACTTTCACTGATGCACATGCAGTAAAATAGAAATTCTGATCGATACCAATCATTTATATTTTCTATTAGCAGTGGAATTTATTTTTAAGTAAAATGAAGTTACCATAAGAAAAATATTGCTTTACCAGCAGTATTTATAGTATTCAAAGTATTAAGATTTATGTGGGTCAATTTTATTCTTATGCAAACAATCATCTTAGCCCAGGAACAAATCTTTTTAGATGCTCATATTTTTGTGACATGCCAAATGGTGTTCAAACCACAATTCAATGAGTGACAGCACTGAGCACACTACTGGCTGGAGCAGCTGGAAGTCAGTCCAGAATGTATTTTCCTCCAGCTGCCATGGTTATATGAACAGGCCATCATTGCTAAAGCAGAATTTACCAAGAATTCCCAGCTTTATCATCTGCCTTAAACTTATATTAAGCTGACACACAGCTATCTAAGAGACAGTCACAAGATGGCAAACCCAGGTCTGCTAAGGCATACTGTGTGGCATAGCCCTGGACCCTACCTTTAGGTGGTGGAGGCAAGACATACGCATTCAGCTCCACTTCATTCTTTGGTAGAGTTACCTGGACGCTGTCTCCAGCAGAAACTGCAAGCTTCTTAATAACTTTGGAAGAGAAAATTAAAATGAAAAGGCTGGGCAATGTTGGGAACAATTCAAATCTTCTATTCTCCACACCTGTACCTAAATACTTGTGTGAGTGCTATCAGCCCAGTTTGGCCACAACATGAACCATGTTTTAGGTTCACATGTACGAGCAGCAGGCTGGCCCGGATGAGAAGCAAGCTGAGTGCTGAGCCTGAGGCACAAGAAGGAAACATCCAGTTTCTCAAAAAGTGCACTGGGCAAATCAGCCTAGATACTAATTTCTGGAAATAACAAGCTACAAATGATTCATCTGCTGTTGCTGTTAGTTGCAAAGTCGTGCAGACCCATCAGGACCCCATGGAGAACATTCCTCCAGGCGATTCATCTGTAACATCCTTCAAATGCAAACACCACACCAGATCTTGAACTCAAGCTGAATATACACATAGAACTGCCCAGGGATTTTTTAAAAAAAGCTTTGCTGTTTGGGAGATCAAATGTGCTCCTGTGCCTTGTAATGTGTGTGTGTGTGTGGGGGGGGGGGGCATTTCCATCAGTCAGGTCCAGCAGCTCTGAAAAGAGTTCAATCAGTTATGTTTCAGGAGACAATCTAGAGTCTCTATTACAAACAGGACAAGACAAAGGCTTTCATTTATTCCCTGTAAACTTAGCCTTCTGCAAACAGATGGAAACTGAGATGCATTTGAAGTTGCAAGCAGGTATGCAGATGCCATAAGCCTGCTAGTATTTGTTGTGTCTTCTGCACATGGGACAGTATCACTGAATTTGATCTTTAAGCCTTATTACAATCTGCGAAATATTGTAGCTACTCAGGTGAGCCCTTTATGATCTCCTTGCAATAACCATAGCAACAAAAGTGAGATGACATTCTAGCTTCAAAATAAAGAAGAAATGACAAAAGAGCAAAATACCTCTGAAAGCACACACTCATTTTAAGAAGCACAGAAGAAAATACAAATGAACACAGTTTTCTTATACAAAGTCAGACTACTGATCCACATGGATTGGTACTGCCAAGGCACCGAGGGCAATGGGGCTCTCCAGGGTTAGAAACAGAAGTTTTCCTAGCCTGATGTGGAGAGGCCAGCGATTTTGCCTGGAACATCTCTACCCCTGGGCTCTCACACTGCAGTACAGAATACACTGTAGGGCCAGGAGTAGCCTAATGGCTAAAAGTAAGAGTCCATAGCCTTGGAAGACCAAGTCTCACCTCAGCCAACAGTCACTAGAGGGCTTTCAGTGAGTACTATTTTCTCAGCCTGATCTTCTCTCAGCTGCACAGGAAGTGCTGGCCTACTTTACAGGGCTGTTATTAAGGCGTATGAACATGTGTGCTATAAAAAAAGGTTCACTATCATTATCATAGTTAACATGACTTCAAGTGAATGGCATCAGTGGTGTCGCCATCATTTACTTTTCTTAATTCAAAAAAGAATTCTACTGACTGCCAGAGAACAAATCAGGTAAATTGTGGCAACGGGAGAGAGGCACACGCAGCACAGACATGCATGAGGGAGAGATTGGAAGGGGCTACTTCTGAGCAGGCAAATGAAGGCATTTCGTGTGGAAGATTCCCAGCCCAGCAGCCTGAGCAGGGAAGCAACAGGAAGCTGGAAAATGAAAGTAGTCAACTGAGAAGTTAAAGGTAAAAAAAGTAGATCTCATATTGAAGGCTGGAAAAGATGAAGCCCATGGGTGTGTAGGTGTGCATATGCACAGATGCACACAGAGTAGCTACTGCTCAACTGAGGCTGAATAATGAATTCAATCATGATCTATTTACTCTGTTTAATGAAGGAACATGAATCACAAAGGAGCAGCTGAGGAAATATAGCCACCAGAATGATCTGCCCCCAGAGGTGCTGCACTGGAATCATCAGCTTCTAAAGACTGATGAGAAGGCTTGCTATTTTAAAGAAACACTAGAAAAAAACCTCTTGCAAAACTCTTTTGGCAAAAGAATATTCTGATTAAAGAGCTGGTTGTGGAAACACAAACAGCATTAAAGAAGGGTTTACTGGCACCTCCTTGGCCAACTGGGGCTCTTACCTGGTGTTGGGGCAGCAGTGCTGGGTAACACAGCAGGATTTGTCGGGACCGCAGTAGCACTAACATTGATGGCACTGCCAGTTGGAACCGGGATCAGCTTCTGACCCTTCCCAATATCCTTCCCCTTAAGGATGCTCGAAGTTGGAATGCTCTCCTCCAACAACAGGGACTGGGTGGAAGTGCTGTTGAATGGCTTGGCTTTCTCAGAGATCCCAAGAGGACTGGGGGACGTGGTGGCTAGAGAGGGTTCTGCCGTGGAAGCACCTGCAGCAGCCTAGCGTATTTATGTGAAAGAGCAGTCATTAACCACAACATCTAAAATGGCACATAGACCTTAGTTCTTACATTTGACAGCTTGATCCAGTTCTGCTGCCCAACGAGCAACCCTTAGAATTTCACCCCATCTGCATTTTAATCTGGACAAATTACTTCATCAGATGGTAGAACTATTCCTGGAATGTATCACTTTGCCCCCACTAGGCTTTCCCATCACCAGTAATTAACTTGGAAAAAAAGGAACAATGTAATTTCTAATGATGCATTTAGCATCGTATTTACCTTGGACCAGGTCAGAGAGATCCTATGGCTTCTAGATGTGCCAAGTAGGCCATAGGACACTTTGGAGTAACAGCTCTAGCACAGAGCTAGGACTCTGTGCTTGGATTCCCCACCCACCTTCACAGCCAGCATGGGAGAATCACACTGGCTGCTTCTTTGAGGCAGCAAGTGCAAACTCTGAGAGGGGGTTTAGTGAATATTCTGGGAGGTTGGAGGGGGAGGGGACTAGTACTGCCAGATAGAAAGCATCTTGGGGGCATCTCAGTCACCTTCCCTCCTGCTACAAAATGTAGGAGTTAGTCAGGCACACTCAGCTGTTCAGCTGCCTAGCAGAGTGGGGAAAGGTTGAGTGTGACCTTAGCTTCTGTGCTTCCCCTTCCCTGCCTAACATGTCCACACTATCCCAAGTTCTGAGGATTAGAGGCATCTCAGTAGCAGTGCACTATTAAACTATTTTAAAACCCTCATTTCAGGGTATCCCACAAACACAAAGTGATTTACAAGAGACTTAAAAAACAGTCACACCAATAATTACAATTGCAACATTTGAAGTGCAAATCCAAAGAAACACCAGCGGCAGCTACAAAAAAGTTTCCAGCATGATTTCACCAAATGTAGTCTGGGATAAAATCTGAGAAGGGTTCCTTTTTTGATAAGTGGAGACAATACTACACATGCATCCCCCGGGGAAGGTTTCAAAAGTATAGAAAGCCTTTATGTGGTACCTTCCAGCCTAACAATTCTTGCTGGCAGGCCAGAAAACATGAAACCATGTCCGTGCCATCGCATGTGAGGAAAGGATACAGGCCTGAATGACTCCAGGGGGTCCCCCTATGCAAAGTGAGGTACATTAGCCAGATATCTCGCTGAACTTTGCCTTTTATAACAAGGATGGCAAGAATGGTAGGATCCTGCTGGTACTGGTATTGCAAAAGTGGACTTCAGTTGCTGTTCAAAAGAAGCACATCCTTCCTGCAACTAGGATTTCTTGCTACATGGTCAAGAAAAGCAGGTTGCTTACCTGTAACTGATGTTCTTCGAGTGGCCATCTGTGTGGTCACACATATGGGGTGCTGCACCTGCGCAGTGCCTTTGGCCGGAAGATTGCCAGCTAACGGTTTTTGGCGGGAAGCTCCGCTCCCCCTCCCTCCGTGGCCTATAAAGAGCGGAGCGTCCGCCATTTTGTTCAGTCTTTGCGACCGAACACGCGCCCCCTCATGGAAAATTTTGAAATTTCAGAAGGAAAAAAGGGGTCGGTACCATGAAAAAAAGGAATCATCGGTACTGATAGATGTATCCACTCACCGACACCGAGCGGGGCCGGCGGGTGGGTTGTGTGACTGCACAGATGGCCACTCGAAGAACATCAGTTACAGGTAAGCAACCTGCTTTTCTTCGTCATGGCCTCTGTGCATCACACATATGGGTAGATTAACAAGCTTACCATAAAGGAGGAGGGAAGGTGTCCTCAGTGAAGAACGGACGAAAGAACAGCTCTGCCAAAGGAGCGATCCCGTCGAGCTCGAACATCGAGATGGTAGTATCTGGCGAAGGTGCAAGGGTTCACCCAAGTAGCAGCTTGGCATACATCATCAAGCGAGACCCCAGATGCAAAGGCAGATGAGGTTGCAACGACCCTAGTGGAATGGCCTCGAGGAACTGAAGGCAGATTGAGCTTAGCTAGTTGATAAAATAAGACTATAGTGTGGACTATCCATTTGGAAAGTCTCTGTGGCGTGACTGGATCGCCCTGATCTCTAGTGGAATACTTAATGAACAGTTTATTTGAACGTCGAATAGACTCCGTCCTCGATCTGTAAAATGCTAAGCAACGCCGAACATCAAGTGAATGCAAAGATCTCTCTAGTGGAGTCAACGGTGACGGAAAAAAGGCAGATAGCACAATGTCTTGCCCTGTATGAAAAGGCGTAGTCACTTTAGGCAGAAAAGACGGGTCGAGGCATAAAACGACCTTCTCCCTGTGAAAGTTCAAATAAGGAGGGCCTATGCGGAGAGCGCAAAGTTCACTGGCCCTTCGGGCTGAAGTGACAGCCACGAGAAAGCTGTCTTCCATGAAACCAGGCGCAGACCCACTGTCGCCAATGGTTCAAAGGGGGCTTTCGTAAGGGAACAACAGAAAGACTCCAGGTAGGCATCACTGGTTTGATTGATGGGTTAGGATTATATAGTCCCTTTAGAAATCTCTTGAGAATAGGTTGAGAAAAGAGAGGTGATCCGTTGACTAAGCCACGGTAGTAGGCTATTGCTGCCATATATACTTTAATAGACGACGGCTTTAGTCCAGAATGGTGCAGTTCCAATAGGAACTGAAGGATTTGATGTATAGATGACATGAATGGGGAGAGGTAGGAAAGCACAGACAGGGGCCATACATTTGGTGAATACCCTCGGAGCTGTGGCCAGTCCAAAGGGCAAAACTGTAAACTCATAGAGATGGGGTGCAACAGCAAAACAAAAGAAACGCCTATAACTCGGGTGGATCGAAATGTGGAAATAGGCGTCCTTCAAGTTCAATGAGGCGAACCAATCCTCTTTTCTTAGCAACAGCAAGATGTTTTGAAGGGTGGTCATCCGAAACTTTTTTGGTACAATAAATCGATTCAGGTTATGTAAGTCCAAAATCGGACGTAGACCACCATTCCGCTTCGGGACCGTAAAGTATCTTGAATAGAATCTGTGGAGTCCGTCAGATGGGAATACTTGACGAATCGCTCCTTTACGAAGAAGTTGATGTATTTCGTCAAGCAATACCAGTGAACATGATGTAAACCGGATTGGACTCGATGGAGGAACGATGTCGAATTTTATCTGATAGCCGTGCTGAACGATGGACAATACCCACCGATCAGATGTAATGAACTCACAAATGGGGAGTTGGCTTTGGAGCCGATCCCCAGATGAGAGGGGGGTGGGTATAGAAGGATTTTGAGGAATGGTTCACCAGTCCCATCAACGCTGCCTCCGATCATCAAAACGGCGGCGGCCTGGTTGGTAGCGTTGTTGGGGCTGCGGACGGTGGCGCTGCTGTTGTTGTTGCTGACGGTGCTGGGGTTGTTGTCTTGGCTGGTAAGACTGCCTGTAGGATGGGCGATTCCATGACCACTTACGTCTAGTCTGGGTCTGTATCTCCATCCTGCGTGCTGTCATCTGGGATTTGTGCAGCTTTTTTAGCTTGTGCTCGGTGCGGGAGTGGAAAAGCCCGGACCCGTCAAAGGGCATTTCCTCTATTCAGCACTTGGTTTCCTCCGGAAAGTTGCAGTTTCTAAGTCAGGTGTGTCTCCGGAGTGAAATGGCACCGGCCAAGGCCCATGAGTCTGTGTCCACGTGGTGCCTGGCCGTGGACAATTGCTGCACCGCGACCTGCATAGCCTCCTTGATTAGGACCTTAGCCAGGTCACCCTGGTGGTCCGGGAGGGTCGAGGTGACATTGTGGAGGTGCTGCATAATGAAGTACTGGTACCTCGCCAACGTCGCCTCGTAATTAGAGATCTGCAGCCCCAGGCCTGAAGCAGCGTAGACTTGCCTAGCCAGGGAGTCGATCTTTCGGCCCTCCTTGTCCCATGGTGCCGTGTGCCCTCTTGCCTCTCTGCCCTGGGAGGATTCCACGACCACCGAGTTCGGCTTGAGGAGGTGGAGGAGGAAGGGAATGTCCTCCTCCCGAACCCAGTACTTCGATTCGTACCTCCTGGACATAGGTTGAGGGTGAGCGGGCAAGTCCCAGGCTGCGTCATCGCTTGCCGAAGGGTGGTTATGAGCGGCAGGACGATCGATGTCGACTGTTCCCCGCGGACAACATCATAGAACTTGTCCGTTGTCGGTCCCAGATGCTGGACGGTGTTGATATCGAGGGACTGGACAAGTCTGGACATCAGCTCCGCGAAGGAGACGTGGGATTCGTCCAGTGACGCAGGACCCTGGGATGTCATGGCGACATCTGGGGAGGTTGAGTCGACCTCCGAATCATCAGAATCGGCACCGTAGTAAGGTGGGGCTGATGACGAAGACTCCGCTGGGGAAAAAGAGAGGCTGCTTCCATCCTGGAGGGATCGTGGGGATGCCCATCTCAGGTCCAATGGACGTGGTCGGTCATGGGATGGTGGAGAGGACCGCCCCCTAGGAGCAGGGTAGTATCCTATGGAGGGCGGATCACCCCAGGTATGGTAGTAGGGGCGACGCCATCCCTCCGAACATTGCTCTATGGAGCAGCTCCTCCGGCTCCCCGGCGGGGACATCCCAACATCTGCCTCCATAGTAGCCGCAGGCAGGGGTGTAGGCGACCGAGCCCTAGGGGGAGAGTCCTGAATTTCCCCATCAGATATCGAGCCCCTTTGCAGAGTTGGAATGGGCACAGATGGGAGGTCAGCCACATGGTGCGGGGACTCTTGAGGGGTAACCTGCATAGCCTCCTGAAGAACCAGGTTGGGCGAAGTCGGTACCATAAGTGCCGCCGGTACCGAGGGGGCCGTCAAATCCGAATCCCGGTGACGGGGACGGTCCGAGTCCCTCAGTTTCTTGGGAGGCTTGGAGACTTTCTCCTTTCTGGCCTTCTTGTGGCCTGCCAACTTCTCGGGTTCGGCATGCTTCCACTTCTCATGCTTTTTGGGGGAAGCAGAGGCAGCCACCAAAGCAGACGCGCCTCCGTCTGAAGGGCGTGAAGGTGGGGCCACAGAAGCAGAGCCAGGCTTTGGAGCAGAG